TTTTTTTTTTTTTTTTTTTTTTTTTTTTTTTTTTTTTTTTTTTTTTTTTTTTTTTTGTTTTTTTTTTTTTTTTTTTTGTTTTTTTTTTTTTTTTTTTTTTTTTTTTTTTTACAACGAAATTCCACTCTTCAAGACTGTGATTATTCCACTCCAAATTTACGTGTCTGAATTGAGTGCCAGTGAAATCTAAGAGGCCAGAAACGCAACTACAACAGCCTCCGGGCTGTATAAAATAGGAGGCACTATGCATGATCATGTGACCAACATCATACTCGCATGCATTGGCGCGGGTAAAAAGTGATTGGCTTGAATTATTTCCAACCAAATCGACTTTTTCTTCAGAAGTGTGAGCCTAGGAATTTGTCCTGTTTTCCATCAAAAATGTGAGTGTCCATACTATTCGGCTTCCTTGACTACGCTTCTCCTTTTATAACGCTCTTGGTATACACTGAACATGGACCAATGCTGATTCCGTGTTCTTTGCAGGCATTGTTTCCGCCGGGCCGCTTCTCGGCTTCAACTGTCAAACATCTCTTCTTCGCCAATCGGTGTCTCTACTCTCGTTTCGCGCTCAAAAGGCAGCGCCCCTTCCATCTCGGCCGTCGCAGCTCCCCGTTTTGCTTATCCATCAGCCATTCAAACACGATGGAACTCAACAGATGGTCCCCAAAACGACCCTAAAGACGGCCCCAATATTCAGTTTGTCGAGTCTGTCAGCCCTGAAGGGCAACGGCCCTTGCGCCGCGGGCGATACGAGCGCCGCGACTACGTCCGTGACGGGCCTCTCCCGAAGACCACCTTGTATGTTGGAAACCTGTTCTTCGATGTGACAGCCGAAGATCTGCGCAAGCAGTTTGAGCAGTTCGGTGTTGTGGAGAGCGCGTTGATCGTGCATGATACACGAGGATTGAGCAAAGGGTGAGTTACTGCCAATCCCTGACCGACAAACGCCAGGATCTAACACATACCAGCTTTGGTTACGTCACATACAGTACCATCGATGAAGCCACCCACGCTATCACTCAGCAGAATGGTGGTATCTTTGAAGGTCGCGAGGTCGTCGTAAATTACGCCAACACTACCCACAAGACCACCCGCCACGAGGTCAAGCCCACTAAGACGCTTTACGTTGGAAATATTCCCTACGAGTTGACGGATGTGGATCTCCAGGAGATTTTCGAGGACGTCCAAGGTGTGACGGATGTTCGCATCCCCGTGGACCGCCGTACCGGTCTGCCTCGTGGATTCGGACACGTAGACTTTGTTGATCAGCCTACCGCGTCTGCCGCTCAGGAGATCCTGAGTCGCAAAGCGCCTTATGGCCGGAAACTTATTGTCAACTTCGCCAAGAGAAAGATCTTGAGCCCCGAAGACCATGCTCGCCACCAAGAGAAGAAGCTCGAGAAGAGGGACAGCGAGTTGGAAAAACAGGCCGGTGAGGAAGCCCACTCACCGGTGGCTGCTGAGCCTCGTGAGCCCGAGCACAAGGAGTAAATATGAATATGTAATCCCTCTAGACATATGTGTCTAGACCCGTGTACAATAGTTTTGAATAGAATATGTATTTCTAATGCATCACGTGACTACCGGAGAACATCGACCTCGGCTGGCGGAAAGGGCAATGCAATCCGACCCCACGTCAGAGATACCCCGGGGAAATACACCTTTGCACCTCCTCTTCTAACCCCATTTGCTTTTTACCTTCAGATTTACCAACGCGTTTGCACTATGTCGTTCCTTGGCGGTGCAGAATGTTCCACGGCGGGAAACCCCCTCACTCAATTCACGAAGCATGTCCAGGATGACAAGTCACTACAGCGCGACCGGCTTGTCGGCCATGGGCCTGGCATGCAAGAAGGCATGCGGTCCAGAAATATGATGCCCGGGCAAGACCAGGTGAGCCAAGAAGCTCGAAAAGGCAATGACCGATTCTGACGGGAAAATAGATGATGGACGATTTCATGCAACAACCAGGCCAGCAATTGAACGGACCTTCACCACAGCCGTTCGCTATGGAACACATGCGTCGTGAGTTGGATAACTTCCAGACGGCACCTGCCCGCACGGGATCACCCGGGTGGGCGGCGGAGTTCGACACCGGCGAACAGGCACGCATGGAAGCTGCTTTCCCCGGGCAAATGAATAACGGCTCCGGTTTCAACCCGGCTGAGTTTGCTCGGTTTCAGCAACAGAACCGCATGGGTATGCCACAGACATCTAGCCCCCAGACAGCAGCTTCGCCGATGATGTCGAACTACCAACGGCCCATGGGTATGGGTGGCGGGTATATGGGTGGAATGGGTGGAATGGGAATGATGAGGCCCATGATGGGTGGACAAATGGGCATGCAGCAGCCGATGGGGGAACAGACACAAGACAAAGGCAAGGAACGAATGGTTGAGCTCGACGACGAGAACTGGGAGGCGCAGTTTGCACAGATGGACACTGCGCACGTAGACGAGGCCCAGACGGACGATGCGGCCAATGCGGCTATGGAGGCGGAATTGAATGATTTGGACAGGTCAGTGCCCACCGACGCCTTTGAATCTGTTTGGCAACGGGTCCAGGCTGAGACCACGAGCAGGAAAATCGCCGAGGAGGATAACTTCGAGGTCACCGATAGCGTACATGTCGGGGATCTAGGTGACTGGGAGGGCTTTGACACCCTGAACTCCCGGTTCCGCGATCCCCAACTTGGCGATTATATGTTTGAGGAGGATAACGTCTACTCGGCCGTCGGGAATCCATTCGAGGAGGGAATGAAGATCATGCGCGAGGGTGGTAATCTGTCCCTTGCTGCGCTGGCCTTCGAAGCTGCCGTGCAAAAAGACCCACAGCATGTGCACGCTTGGACGATGCTGGGCTCTGCGCAGGCGCAGAACGAAAAAGAGCTGCCGGCTATCCGTGCTTTGGAGCAGGCTCTGAAGGTTGAGCCCGGGAATCTTGATGCTTTGATGGGTCTCGCTGTTTCATACACAAATGAGGGCTACGACTCTACTGCCTACCGCACACTGGAACGCTGGCTTTCAAACAAGTACCCGACCATTATTGACCCTAAGGAGGTTTCCGGTGACGCAGACCTCGGCTTCACAGACAGACAACTCCTGCATGACCGCGTGACAGAGCTTTTCATCCAAGCTGCCCAACTCTCTCCCTCTGGTGCTCAGATGGATCCAGATGTGCAGGTTGGTCTAGGTGTATTGTTCTACTGTGCTGAAGAATACGAAAAGGCTGTCGATTGCTTCTCCGCAGCCCTGGCCTCCACAGAGTCCGGCAGCACAAACCAGCAAGAGCAACTCCACCTTCTTTGGAACCGTCTCGGAGCTACACTAGCCAACTCCGGTCGCTCAGAGGAGGCAATTGAAGCCTACGAGCAGGCTCTCAATATCAACCCCAATTTCGTCCGTGCCCGTTACAATCTTGGTGTCTCGTGCATCAATATCGGCTGCTATCCCGAAGCTGCACAGCACCTCCTTGGCGCCCTGTCGATGCACCGTGTTGTGGAGCAAGAGGGTCGCGAGCGTGCCCGTGAGATCATCAACGACGGTGTCCACCCCGATGGTCTTGACGATGAACGTCTGGAGCGCATGCTGCACATCAGTCAGAACCAGAGCACTAATCTTTATGATACGCTGCGTCGCGTTTTCAGTCAAATGGGTCGACGGGACTTGGCGGACCAAGTGGTTGCCGGCATGGATGTGAATATCTTCCGCAAGGAGTTTGAATTCTAGGGTCATCATTTTTTCAAGTATCAATTGGTACAGTATATATGGGCATGGCTGGCAAGTCCGGCATTCTTTGTATCTAGTCATCATCTGTGGCTGCTTCTCAGGTTAAGTGTGGCTTGGGGGAAAAGGTCCTCATACATATTTGAAGCTTCATGTAAGGGGCGCGGAACGTACGTTTCATTGCGCTAGCTAAGAATGGGAACCGCGTGGCACTTCATCTCTAGCTAAGTTTTTTTTCGCACGACGACTGGAACAGTGCAGTCTGGCTCGCAAGATCATCAGAAACTCATGCCCCTCCTCAAGTTCTCCCAGCGGCCAATGCCATCTTGCCTTCACTTGTTCCAAAGCCTCTAGCGGCTCAGCATGATCAACAAAAAAATGAGTGTTCACACCCGAAACAAGGCCGGATTCGGTTGAGCTGTCGAAAAGAGACCCATGAAGCTCGGCGCTGCTAATGTAAGATATTGGCGAGACTTGCATTACTTCACGGGCGTGTTGCTGCATGAAGTCAATTGAGATTTTCTCTATGTTTCCTGTTTCAAATGAGCCTGTGATTTCTTTGCATGAGAAACTGACTTACCGAAGAATGCCTTGGCGGCAGCCAAACACGCAGCCGGATGGGAACTCATGATACCATAGATGTCATCGCTTTGCTCCCGTAGACAGTTGAGTAGGCCTTCTGCGAGTCCACCTTGTCGGTGCTCCTTGCTCACAACTAATTGCGTGATCCAGCACACGCGCGTCTCTCCGACGTTCCAACGACACGCAAACGCATTTCCAGCCAGTTCACCATTCACGGTCACCATAACGTAAACGGTATCGGCAGAGGGTGGCAGGTACTGGGCACGCAAACGGCTGGCAGAAAGAGCAACAGGTTGACCTGTGTTGAAACAATTAGCTCGTTCAAAATGGCAGGTCAACAAAACCCTGCGCACCTTGTTTCGGAGACTGGGCTCCCCATTTCCCGTAATTCTCACGGAAGAGAACTGCTGCATTGGTCATCATTTCATCAGAGACTTCAGCGCCGGGTACAATAGTGTAATTCACCATCTTGATGCGCGATGGGGGGTGGTCAGGGTGATTCATGTTGCTCGAGGACGAAAGCGTGGAGGAAGTTCGCTTGAGAAGAAGGCAAGAGCAAGAGAAGGAAGGCGCCGGAGAAGGAAGCTGCGAGACTAAGGAAGAGGCAGATAGATATGAGAGGATGAGGAAGGAACCTTGGAACAGCCAGTCTGTGACTTCCGATTCACTCTTCACTCCCATGGTTCTTTCACTCCAGGGCTCGGGGCCGTGACTGCAGGATTCTTTTTCTCGAACTTACCTGAGTAGGTTGTGCCGTCCATGTTTACTTAAAGCTCAAATCCGTTGTGAGTCATGTCCAGGAGTCAGGAGTTGTTGCATACTCAGTGGATTTGTGTTGACAAGGAAGAAACATGTACAGAGTACCGAGTAGTAATTAATGGGCAATGAGAAACAATCATTTCAAGGTCCCAGCTTGCAAGCAATTCAAGGCTGAGCGCAGGCATGATCCATCACACCAATGATTGACAATTGACGATCACACCGTTCGAATAGCTTTCCAGAAGTACCCTCAGACTCGCAAGGGAGGCAAGCTATATTCGTGACACTGTAACATCTCCTATGCAGGGGACTCGTGCTGACTCGAGGGGAGAGACTCAGGTAAATGAAAGGAAATGAAGGTACTAAATGAGAAGTGGACAAAACGTATCCACCGTGCGGATCTCCCGTGCAGAGGCCACGATCCCTGGGGAAACGATAAATCAGTACGGAGTCCTCCGTATAGGAGAAAAGTACCGTAACCTTGGAAGTGTCCAAATCGTAAGGGACTAATCAGAGAGAAGATCGGCAGCACCCAAAGCCCATTTGATTGAAGGAGAGGAGTGACGCTCACAGCCTCCACCAGCCGCGCCATCTATTCTGGGCCTTGTCTCGGATTTCATGTGGCTGAACCCTTTCTCTTTTCCTTTCCTTCTTCTCTTTTCCATTCCGATGATCTCGAGGAGATCGCCCCATCATGTACATTCCTCGGAAACGTGAAAATACGGAACGAAAAAACATCATATTCATCATTGTAGGTCCATCCTACTCGTATACTTGAACTTTTGCTGACGTGGATCTAGTCTGCCGTGTCTATCATCTTCGCTGTCACACTCTTGGTGGGCAGTTATTTCCTCGCTCGCTATCTTCGACAACATTACCCGGAACCCAAACACCTGCCGGGCACATTCCTCAAGGCGAAATGGAAGAAATGGCGCCCGGGCAATGCCGCCTACGGCCAGGTCAGCCAGAGAAATAGGACGGCCGACACATCTTATCGCGGCGCAGGAGAGACGCCGGAGATGCAAACAAATGAGGCCCCTCGCCGGGAAACCTCCATCCGCTCGATTATGACCCTGCCACCCTATTCGTCGAGCCCGAAGCCGACCGAACAAATCATCGCCCGGGAGGGCGAGCGTGGTGGAATGGATATGGTTGTGGAATATCCGGAGACCGCGGAAGAGCAAGAGAATAGGCGAGAAGAACACATGGACTCCCTATACCAGCTTCGCCTACAGCGTCGACAAGAGCTGGCCGACCGCGAGGCTCGCCGCCGAGAACGACGAGAAGCGCGGGATCGCGGCGACTATACACGCCTTGAGCAGCTGAATGCTGAAACCCGTGAACGGGCCTCACGTCGTCGTGCAGGGACTAATAGCGCAACGGATATCACGACTGCCTTGACTGATCGTCAAGCGCGAGAGCGGGACCGACGAATTTCAAGTGTCAGCTATGCTGAGCTCGGACGGGTCCGCCATGACGGCTCGCGACTGCGTGCCGACTCGCATAATTCGGAAAATCCCGACTCTGATAGTCGCCCTCTCCTGCTGAACGACAGCAGCTCATCCGCGCCATCCTTTGAACCTTCGAGCTTCAACTCTCGAGTCCAGTCCGTTGCTTCGTCGATCATGAGCGAATCGACCGGCACAGAGATGGATCCGCTAGCGCCGACTTCGACGCGTGGTTCCAGTCGGCCTGTTTCACACAACGAGGAAGGGGACCTGGGGGCTCTGAATATTCCACCGCCCCCGGAATACGATCACTTGGACTGGGGCGATGCGCCGGCATACCAAAGTCCACTCGCAGAGCAATTTGGTCAGCAGCTACCTGCTATCAACCGCTTGCCGTCGATTCACGTGAACTTACCAAGTCCTCTGCCCGTCTCCCCTACCACGCCGACCCAGAATCAATTCCCTGCCATCGATGAGGGCCACCCAACCCCAAGAGGCAACCGGGTTGCCTCAGGGGGTTCAGCAACCACCATCACTCCCAACAATACTTAATACATTACAAATCATCCACCAATTGGGTGTAATTGGAAGTTGTTCATATTTCTTCGCATTTCACCGTTTTCCCCGAGCATCAAGCACGATTTACGACCTTTATTAGCATCACCAGACTATGGCCTCTGTCCGTCCTTTAGCTTTGGCCTTCTCATTTCTCAGCGTCACTTCCGTCTTTTCCTCTTCTTCTTCTTCTTCTTCGGCTAGCAAGGCGTTTTGTGTTTTGGTGGGTTACCCACATTTTATTGTGTTGTGCTTGATTTGAAGTATCTATATTGGGACATGTGTAGGTAGTCAATGGTGGCAAATCAAATTCGCATATAGCAGCTTTCTAACCAATGGAACATCAGAGGTCCTAGCATGTCAGCAACGGGACATCACCAAAGGTTGTTGTCGTTCGAACGCCGATACATCGGCAATCCAAATAAGGCTTATTCAAGCGCCAATACAACCACAGCAGTGTAAGTCGAAGCAACATAAGTATGAATTTGTTCAAGACGCAGGCCGGCACTCTTCGCAAGTGAGCGCCACTGGGCCTCAGTCCGCTCTTTGCCCCCAAAGGCCATCATGGCAAGATCCGCCAAGGTCGACTGCCAATTTGCGCCAGTATCTGGGAGCACGGTATCGTCAATCAAGATCCGTGATTCGGGATTCATCGCGGCGGCAGTGTTCCGGAGAATGACGGCAGCCTCGTTATCAGGCCAGTCGTGCATGATTCTGCGAAGGTAGTAGAATTTGGCGCCTGAAAAATGGTAACTCAGTTAGTCATTCGGGTCTGGGTTTGATCCTTCTGGGTACGAACCAGTGACTGCTTGAGGCTGGAAGAAATTGTAAGCCTTGATCTCAACTCCCTCTATCGGAGCAAGCTTCTCCACTGCCTCGGGAAGATCCTGGAGGACCATACGCCCTAGCAGATTCGGGTACTTCTTCCCAAGCTCACGGCACTGGTGACCGTGACCACCGCCAACGTCGACGAAGAATGGGCTTTCAACTGCGTGCGGCGCACTGGATGGGACTTTTTGAACTTCATCGTCGAGAAGGTCAAAGTCATGAGTCCATTCCGATCCTTGGAGAGATGTCATGACTTTCTGCAGATTCTCGAAGTGCTTTGTTTGCTGGACAAGCCACTCGAACGAAGTGAGCTTCGTGTTGTGAGCCTTCTGGAAAGGCGTGTTGGTATTGTCCGTGACATCTTGGTAATTGTTCTCTGCAAAGAAGTCTGGCATTGCTTGGACCACAGGCCCGTGGGTGTCGAATCTTTGAGCAGGCATTGAAAATAAGCATGGGTTGGAAATTCGATCGATGAGCGCTGACACTTACCCATGATAGATCATGGCTTCACCTTTGGGATCAGCCAGCACGTGAGTGAGCATATTTGCTGTATACTCATTGGCTGCTGACTCTTTGATAACATTCGTTGCAGCCAGGTAACGAAGAACTCTCTCTGGAGCCCAGTGTTTGGTTAGCAATCGGTGTAAGCACAACCACAAAAGGTATCTCACCCAAAAGCTGAGGGGAGGCATTCGTCGACTCTGCAATCCTGTCGACTTTTAACGGCGTATCGCTCTTTGCGAGCAAGCCGAAGAGTCCTATGTCGGCACCAACGCGAAGCATTGCATTGACCAAGCCCTGGAACTGTCAGTACAACCGACAGAAGGACATGAGATGATACACACCGAGCCTGCAATCTCCATGAGACTATCTTTGGGACTTTGAAGCTCAACCTGAACTTGACGTAGCGCCTTGATGATGTTGAGTCGACCCGCCTCGTCGGCGGCTTTGGCCAACGCGTGGATTTGAGTGACAATAGTGTCCATATTGATATAAAGGTGGGAGTGGACTAAGAATGAAGATGTCTTGAGCTCTTTGGATTGGTATGATAGTAGTCAAGTGTCCTAGTCGAACACAGGCACCTTTATACCACTTTCTCGTAGACATGATATACATAGTCCACGGAGGCCGCGGAAGTTCCGCGGATTTGCCGACTTCTCATTGGTCAGATCAACACGGCCCCCAATTCAATCCGAACAACCTGCGAGGTTTCCTCTGCTCAGCCCGGCCCAAATCAAATATTTCTCAGCGTGAAGATGAACCGGGTCGTGAAACCGTCTGCCAAGTCATCACGCTCGAGGCCGGTGTCGTGCCACTTTTGCCGATCGAGGAAGCTGAAGTGTAGTCGGCAATTCCCGTGCTCGAACTGTACCAGTCGGGGTACTGCCTGCCAGCTATATCCTACAGTGTCATCACCCGATGCTCAAAGCGACAAGGAAGAGCCACCAGTGAATCAAAGCTCAAATGCAGATGTCCTGGCCCGCTTGCGCCGGTTGGAAGAGATCGTCATCGGCAATGGGAACCCATCTGGGCCTTTGGATCGAGCTACAATCCAGGCACCGTCAGTGCCTTCTCCTCCCACGCGTCAGTTCGAACATCCTTATATGATGCACCAAGGTCAATCATCTGCGGCTGCTGTCAACTGGTTGGAGGGCGAGATCACGTCACCAGGCTCAACTGTAGGCTTATCATGACCGAGTCCCGACTGGTGAATGTGCCACTGACTTATGTGCAGAGCTCCCTTCTGAAGTATGAGCTTGAATTCAGAGTCTGTGACGTTCGCTCGGCTTTGTGTTCTTCACAAGTGGCTCATCCTGAATTCCCTCGGAAGAAGTGTCTATGGCTGCCGCGCCACGAAGAAGCTAAGATAATAACAGAGAAGTATATATCAGAGCTCACTCATTTACACCATGTGGTGCATGTACCCTCGTTGCGCACTATGATTGACGACCTCTACGATGGACTGAAAGAAAGTAGACCCATAAAAGTTGGGCAAGTCTCGTTACTCATGTCCGTCCTGGCTACCACCACGACATTTTGGACCGAGCGTGATATGCACCATGGCATATTCTCCTCGGTTGAAGAAGCAAATTCCCAATCTACTCAGTGGATGAAGCTTGCCACCGAGGTACTGGAGTATTCACGCTATAAGCACCTGGAGTCTCTAGAGGATGTCCAGGCAATGGTGATCTTGATATTTGTAACGACTAATCTAGTGGGAATTGCTTCCCAGGCTCGGCACATGGTTTCTACAGCAATATCTGTGGCAAGAGAGTTATCAATGCATCGAGTCGATCATCCAAATAACACTGGCTTTGATGTACCGCCGCCGACTTCTGCACGGGCGGAGATCTATAGACGAGTGTGGTGGTATCTTGTGGCAACTGATTGGTGAGCTAATGTGACTTTGATGTACACAACACTCGCTCATGCAACGATAGGCAAATGTCTCAGTTATCTGGACCCCAGAGAGGCACATACTCCATCATGCCCTCCCACATGATGACCAACAAACCTGCCAACATGAATGACGAGGATATTGTTAATGGAACGGTCGCTAATGGCGAGCCAATGGTCCACCCAACCTCAATGTCCTATTGCCTGCAGCGGATCCGATTGGGCGAGTTCTGCCGTGAAATCACAGACAGTGCCCAATTTGGACTCTCTGACCCTGGAACTCCAGACTACGCGATCACAAAGCATATTGACGGCAAGATATGCGAGTTCGCAGAGAGTCTGCCCTCGTTTTTCGCATTGTCTCAGCCGGAGCAGCTCAAGGCCGATGATCGCAGATCCACAGGAATCATCACGCAACGGTATATCCTGAATTTCCTACTGAATACGCAAAGATGCAGACTTCACCTGCCCTACTTGTCGCATGCATCTAAAGATCCTGCATACGAGTATTCCCAGAAAGCGTGTCTGGAGGCGGCTCGAATGGTAATCCGAACAGAGCAGCAACTCTCCCAGGAAGTGATACCGTTCGTCATGGCGCGCTTGAAGTTTTCCGGCATGCTCCATTGTGTATGTGTCGCCATCATCGTTCTCCTCATAGCGTATTGTGGACGCAACAGCCACCAACAAGAGAACCAACAAGAGAAGGAAGGGGGCCGATCGGAGCTCTTCGAGGCATTTAAAATCCTGGAAGAGGCCAAAGGGCAATCCCCCTTCGCTGGTCGGCTACTTGAATCTTTTAAAACGGTCCTTCGTCGACATAGTGCGTCAGCGTTACCTGGTGCAGGAGATCAATTGGCACAGTCTGGCCAGGCTAGCAGTCTGTCGCTGGCACCTGATCGGATCTGCTACTCTACAGCAACTGCCGCTCCTTGTTCGAGCGGACACAATGATGATTTGCTGATGGATCCGACCCTGCCTGCGCTGGATGACCTCTGGCAGGTTTTCGATGAGAGTGTGGACTCGCCTTCAGTGGATTGGACCAGCTTCTTTGCCGAATTGGACTCTCCCTTCCTGTCCGTGTGGTAATTTTGATGGTACACACTCGTATTTGTAGTAAGCCTTGGAACCTCCCTAACAATTATGCGTTATATGACGCATTAGTGAGACCGTTCAAAGTGAATTTTCGAACGATCTGCTCGTACTCGTAGGTGTTGTATGTCATGTCCAAGCCATTACAATTGAGCCCCACTCACAGGGATTTAACCGGTTGTGTCGATAGTGCGATCGGCCACGTCCACTCACACTGCAAGTCCATTCTGTATTCCAATGACTACACTTTACTCGTAGATATGATCATACACTAAGTGGGACTCATGGGGGTCTATGAGAACAGTGGCTTGGTCAATACTCCATGCTCCATAACACTTCCGAAGTCTCCGATTGATGTCATCCCAAAGACATGTTGCCTGGTTCCTGAACACACGACCTGCGCTCGTACCTGAGACAGCTTTATTTTGCAACCTCCATATTGTCTCCAGGATTCTTTTCTCTCTTTTTTTTTTGACCAAAAAATGAGATAAGAAAAAGCGACCATGCATTACAGTTCAGAGAATTTACAAGTAGAAACACACTCAATTGATGGACCCGGTGCCGATCATCCAAGAAACAGATTCTAATCATACAGCTGGACACGCGTCGTGGGGTGTCAATGGTGACGCACAGAAAAAGCACCTGTACGAGTACTTGTACGAGTATTACTCCTACAATCACCCTGTACAACATAGGTCAAAAGTAAGGTCACTGCTCAGGCAACCTCTTTGTTCATTCTACTCGTATACCCGGATTACCCCAAAGAGCTCAAGTTGTGGAACTGAGCCGTGGTCGAACAACAAAAACAGGCGCTCCACTATCCCCTCTGGTCCAATCTGCTTTTCGTATTACATTGGTCTGTTGAAGTCATACACTTGGCTGTGTCCAATTGCAGGTAATTTACAAGGCTTAGCTCCACCGTTGCTCTGTCACACAGCCGTATAGTAACGATCAGTCAAGTCTAACCTTGGGAGTCTATCGGGGATTTCTCGATGCTCGATCAATGTTGATCTTGTGGTCTAGCCCTTTCTAATTCACTCGTACTCTCACGCTCGATACTCGTACACATACTTGTACTCTATATCTCCAATTGAAAACACCTTGTGGAAATTTCTCAAGTTCATATGTAAGACTGGGCGTTGAAGTGTTCTTCTAAGTTCCAACTTGATATTTCAATTACTCGTATACCCCGGATCAAACGGTCCCAAAGTTGAATGTCCGTACCTGGCCCCATAGACTACCTGGTAACAAGGGCATTCAATCAGAGGTGCGAGGTGTCGTGGTCGCCCATGGATGAAGCACAGGTGCATCCGTTTCATCCGGACAAGCAATCACCGTGAGCCTCTCGGAGAACACAAGCAAGCAACGGTCCATGGAAATGGGGGTTGCCACTCTAAATTGGATCTCGGTGGACCCTCAGACCACACAACCAGGTGCCCTCGGCTGATGATTACGAGTATCAAATCGGGTATGTGGAGAGACTCACTTCTACTCCACAATTCAATGACGTCGACTATTTGCATTGCGCATCTTTGCTCCAACTGGTTCGGACCTGGATTGCTCAACTCTCCGACGCCAGGGCATTGGCTCGTCGGGGTCTGACGGATCGCATGGCTGACAGTTTCTATTATTGTTTATTGTCTTTTTTTTTCCCCGACTTTTTTTTGTGTGTGTGTACTCGTACGAGTATTTGTGTAATTGGATCTTGATTCGGGCACTTTTGCCGGTGCCTGCTGTATACTCCAGTGCACCTGCTGTTTATATAACCTTCCAAATTCGTAACGAGTGAAACCCACTTGCCCTGATTTCATAAAAGATCCCTTTTCCACAACTCTCATCTTTCCTCTTCACTCTGTTGCTCACTTGCTTGCTCAGTGGATTCTACTTTAGATCTTTTTCTTTGGTGAAAAGAAACAGCAATCTTCCCAAAGGGCACTGTGTTCACTCGCTATCTGACCACTCCCTCCACATTCGCTGATCATGATGAAGAACTTCATCACGCTCGCTGCCTTCGCTGCTGGCGCCAACGCTCTGGTTGGTCGCAGTGACAGCTGTTGCTTCCACCTCACCTCTTCCGGCGGTGCCTCCGGCGAGATTGGCCAACTGAGCGATGGTCAGAACCGCGTCGGCGACAACAGCCTGCCGCCTGCCCAATTTTGCATCGACTCAAAGGGTGCCATCACCGATGCCCATGGTCGTGGCTGCATCCTGACTCGTAAGCATCCCAGAACAATTCCCACCTCCCCCGCCAACATAACTCTGACCATATAATAGCTCCTACCACCCAGTTGCAGTGTGACGAAGGTGCCTCGCCCACTTCCGGCTTCTCTGTCAACTCCCAGGGTCAGCTCGAGTTCCAAGGCAGCAAGGACTTTGTTGCCTGTGCCACCGGACAGAACGGCGGGCTGAACATCTACACTAGCCCCAACAAGTCTGATGTGACCGGCTGCGTGAACGTGGAGTTGAGTGCCGACTCTTGCTCTAACAACGGCTCGGGCTCTGGTTCCGGCGGCTCGTCATCCGCCAGTGCTGGCCCCTCTCCCGCTCAGTCTACTCCTGCTGGCTCTGCTCCTACTCCTGAAGCCACCGGTGGCTCCAGCTCAGGTGGTCCCGGTGAGGGATCTGGATCTGCTACTCCCGCTCCCTCCGGCGGAGGCGGCGGCAGCTCGCCCTCTAGCCCTAGCTCTGGATCTGAATCTTCCGCTCCAGCTCCTTCCGGTGGAGGCGGTGGTAGCTCTCCCTCTAGCCCTGGCTCTGGCTCTGGTTCTGGATCTGGATCTTCTCCCTCTCCCGTCACAGTTGTGAACACTATCACCGTCACTGACTGCAGCTGCTCTGCCACTTCTCCCGGTGGTAGCGGTAGCTCTGGCGAGCAGCCCGCTCCCTCTGCTAGCATGCCTGCTCCATCTGGCGGTGGTGGTATTGCGCCTTCCGGGTCTGCTGGTGGTGGCGGTGGTTCTGCCTCCGTTCCCTCCGGATCTCAACCCTCTGGATCGGGTACTGTTCCCTCTTCTCCCGGTGGCGGTGGTGGCTCCCAGCCCAGCGCTTCCGGTGGCGCATCTGTCCCCGGCAGCTCTGCGTCTTCCACTCCTTCATCCACCGAGAACTCCTGTCCTACCACACTCACCACCGGTAGCTACGAGACGCCTCATTTGATCATTCCCGTTGACTCTTCCTCGCCCAAATCTGCACCCGGTACTTCCTTCAACGGTACCGTGAGCTCGACCGTCTCCAGTGCTTTCAACTTCGATATCCCATCGTCAGACTCAGGCAAGACTTGTAGCCTCGTCTTCCTCTTCCCTAAGCTTCATGAGCTGGAGACCTCCTCCTTCAGCTTTGCAGGCAATGGCCAGGTCGACTTTGCCCAGCTCTCTACCCCTGTCGACAAGTCCACCTCCTTCAGCAGCCTGCCTTCCATTTCCAAGGATTTCGGCGATATCACTGTTTCTCCCGGCAACTCATACGTGATTTCCACCTTCGCTTGCCCTGCCGGCGAGACTGTCGCCTTTGAGATGAAGAGCTCCGGCAACACTGACCTTAACTTCTTCCAGGACTGGAACCCCTCTCCGTATGTCTTCCTTTCTTCATTTGCTCTTGGATTCTCAGCTAACCACGTCCTTAGTATTGGTCTGTTCATCACCACCTGCTAATTTAGCACGTATGAAAGATACTAGTCTGCCACCCTGGACAACACGAGGTGCACCCTCTTCATGCCTTTATCCCGATTGATGTCTTATGTTGCAACGTATCTGTTTTTTCTATTCATCTCTTTCAAACCATTTGATAATATCTTTTTGTCGCAGGCGTCTATGGGGAAATGATTATTTCTCAAAAGGCTGAACTACCAGATGTGGGTTGAAAGCATAGCCATATCTGGTTGATGTTGTAATTGAGGGGCGCACGCATCCTGTCAACATTCCTTCAAATCGTGTATTAGTACATTGAATTCATTCCTTTATCCCAACGCAAATACTGTAAAGATTTGCACCATTCAAATTGTGGTACTGGCAATTCTAGAGCTGCTATTCTCCGTGGTGCGGTTCACTGAAGTTACTAAAGCTAAGGAAGGGAATAGAGAGGTTCTAAAGTTAAGTCGAAAGATGTGGGAGTTGACGTTAATGCCTCAGGTGCTCACATGGCCTGAGGTATCAACCACAGTCAACCTTTTCCCTTTCTCTTCAATTTTTGTGTCTCGAAGAATTGGACCGGTGCACTTAGCCTTAACACACATGATGACCAGCCGATTGATGACAAACGAGAAGCCTGACAACGTCTGCTTGGACAAGGGCAGCAGAAAAAAAAGGATATATAATCAACCAAGCTTCTACCCCATTCTAGTCAATTACTTAAAATAACACAAAATGATAACTTCTTCCTCCTTTACTTAATTTGCAAAGGTTGATTGGATTTCAACCCCATGACATTGCTGACATCATCCATATCAACAGTCCACATGCCAATGATGTAGGGCGCGGCGGGTTTCACAGTTCGCCAGCCGATCATCTTCTGGGCCAGAGGCGTCATGCTCTCCACAAGTTGACGAGAAAGGTGAAGGTTGGACTCGTAGGGGGTGAAAACGCTCGGTTGCAAGACGAGAGTAAAAGCCCGACGAGTGAAATCATCAGAGTCATTGGCTCCTCCTCGATGCACGACTTTTCCGTTCAGCAGGACTGAGTCTCCCGCCTTGATAACTGCTGTCACCACAGGGTGGTCTTCGTCTGGCTCCATGATGCCTTCTCCTTTGTGGCTATGCCAAATGAACTCAGTTGCTCCACTTTCTTCGGTAAAATCGGTCATGGCCGTGAAAAAATTGATGAAGGTCTCTGGTGCATCACGCGCATTATTGAACAGAGGAGAGGTGACCTGATCATGGTGCCATGGCTGCGCCGGCGTGCCGGGTGCATTGTCCATAACCGCACCGGAAACAGCCCAATAGTCTCCCACCGGCTCAAAAACCGCGCTTGCCAGTTCGTGCATCAATTCATGGTTGAGGATCTCATAGCGAAAGGTTGGGCTTTTTGCGGTCAAGCTATGGACACGCTTCTGTTGGCTGGGCAACAACTTGGCGAGAGAGTAATTGAAGGAAGGGTCCACAGCGCATTCCGGGTCTCGAAGCCGGGCGAGATAAGGGTCAATCTCGCTATTAAGCTTTTGGACCTGCTCAGGGCTTAAGAAGCCTTCAATGACAACAACGCCATCTTCTTGAAAAGCCTTGAGGATTTTGTCAGCGCCAGCATTGTGAGGAATCCGCTGGATATGAGGCTTCGAGGAGACTGTCATGATGAAAAATGTGATTTAAGGATGAAAGATCTGAATGGTTGATGCCAGTGTTATTTTTCAACAGCAGACCTCGGGATCAATATTTATATGTTCGAGCCTCGGAGAGCTATTATTATATACACAGTGAAGACTTCAGGAGCGAATGCCAGTGGAACACATGTATATGTTCTCCAACACACCTGGGCAAGTTATCCATAGATTCGGTAAGATATTGCATAAACGTTGCAGGAACGTTGCAGGACGATTGCATAATTAGGAATCTTACTTGAGTACCCCATCTTGTGTCACCTCAGAACGTGGCTTGCTGAGTTTATGATCTATAGATATTCCCGTCACAGGAGTGTGACTCGAACTACGAGTAGTTACAGAAAAGGACCATTCCTATTTCTGTCTTTCCAAATGCAGGTATGTATATCATTGGATGAAAAATTCAACTTTAGAATTTCTTTTGTCTGGTAGAGGATCTAAACGTGGACAAATAGCAACGTCTGGTCACAAAATGATCAATCGTACATAAATGCATATAGAGAATTTCTACATCATCCGTGGTCGCATACTCCGTACATGAATTCACCTCAGCTCCAGCTCTAGAGGGATATTGGTACTTTAGTAACATCAGCCGCACCAGCTGCAGGCTGCATGAATTCGTAATGATTATGCACCCTCAGAAACGTCATTTCGCGATAATTACTGCGTATAAGTGGTACTGAAGTAGAATTACGGAGTACCTCGGGGTTGAATCTTGCATGACCAAATGCGCAAGTGTGCAAATAGGGCCAGTGATCGACTGATCAGCTCATGCATGCAAGGTGTCCAGTAGCAGCGTCGTTTAGATTGCCTATATGCCCCTAATTGCCCAGTCGTCTCTCCGGACTCCTATTACTCGTATCTGGCTGATGTGACCTTGTGATCTTGATGTTTACCGAGCGAAGTTCATTCATAAGTCCGAAGAGCACATGAATTTCCTATTTGGGCTGCCGCTTTAGAAGGGCGCTTAGATCCAGGGTCTCGGGACAAAATACAGCACGAGCACTCAATAGTATTTCACTAGACAGCTATAGGTACTTGTACTCGTACGATTTGTAAGTAATATGTTGAAAAAAAAAAGATTTATGAAAAAAAAAAGCACCCAAGGACATTCTAAAGATTGCCACAAGTCAGGTCTTTAGAATCAATACAGTAAAATGAATGAAAGAAAGAAGGAGAGACCTGCCCAGGTGGCGATGCCAGATCTTTGGCTACATGAAAAGATAGAGACTAGACGAAAGAATACATTGAATTGAACGAACTCAAGATGACGGAGAAAGAACAGAGTATCAGGGTTTAGGATGTGAGGCATTGATTCCTCAGGCCAGACTAACAACTGAGGCACCAACTCCATCTCTCTCCCCCTTTCCTTAGCTTTGGTGTCTTCAACAGACAAGGCTGATGAAATCATCAGGAGAAGCCAAGAACCGCACAAGAGTCTCATTGAACCTTTTCACCAATCCCTCTGCCAGGGTCTGTTCTAACGCGCCTGTTCTCGATACCAGGAACGTCATCATACTCTCTGGGCCTGGCCAAGTAACCAATATATGCTGTGGTGATCCCACAGGCTTGAATATAGGCTCCTTGATCTGTGCCGTAGAGCCACCAAGGGATATCTCCCGAAGACTGTCAAAATTCTCATGCAGTACAACGCTGTCAAGAATCGTGTCAGCCGGCCACGAGGTGCTTTGTGCAACTACGTCAGGCCAATCGGTGGTTTCATACGCGAGTGACCTGACGTGCTGCTCCTGCGTGAATGCCAAAAGGTCACGAATCCGAGTTTTTGGATCAACTTGGACTCGAACAGGCGTTGTGTTAAGACACATCCCAATGATCTCCTGCCCTGCCTCAGGCTGAACTCCCCGGCAATTGGTGACTTGTCCAAACAGAACGTCGGATTTGCCAGTTTCTTGCGCAAGTACACAAGCCCAAGCAGCCTTGATGGCAGTTGCCATTGTGATACCTGTTGGCGGAGGAGCAGGTGCGCATTCTCCGATGAAGAAAGCTGGAGCCACGTCGCCAAGACATAGTCGCGGCAGTCGAGTCACCTCGCTCCCAGCCAAAAGATCCTTCCAGTGCTCGAAAGCTTGAGGTGTCCGTAGACGCTCGCAGGCTCGCCGGTAGCTCACAAAGTCTGCGTCTGGTCGTCGTTGTGAGGCGGGTCCTGGATGAGCATAGATCGACTCAAGTTGCTGAAATAAGGGCTTTAAACAGACGCCGTCGTACTGAGCGTGTGAGAGACGGATGATAAATGCACAATTTCCGGAGTCGTGATGAATGAGAGTGAAGCTGACTGCAAGTTGCGTGTTCGGTGGTACGCGTTCTCGATCTTCCATCACCCACGAGTGCGCCCATTCTAGCAGATTCGAACCTGGGGGAGCACTATGTTCCGCCCAAGGAATATTGGCCTGGCGCAAGACTACCTGCACTGTTTGATCGTTGAGGGGTATAAATAACGATCGTAAAGCGGGCTGAATGTCGACCAATGTCTGACATGCAGATCGGAGTTGCTCTGCTGCCACAGGACCTTGGATCTCAACCGGGAGATAATCAAAGACGTCGTTTTTCACCAGATGAGTTTGCATGTCCAGAGTGGGAAACACGCTCTCGAAGTTCTTTGAATCAAGCTCTGGCGGCAACATCTGGAGCAATTCTCCCTTCACTTTTGCAAAGAGATTCTCATCTGGGATTGAATCTTGCGATCCAATATCCAACTTAACATAACATTTCGCCAATGTTGCCAGATTTGGTTGATTAAACACATCAGCGACTGTGATGTGGAGCCCATGCGAACGAGAGGCCGAGACAAGCTGCCGTGCTTTGAGAGAATCGCCCCCCATATGAAAGAAGTTATCATCAAGTCCCACTTTCGAAGATGGCAGATGGAGCACTTTCGCACAGACCAGCTGCAAAGCACGCTCTTCGAGTGTGACTGGTGCACGAAATGCCACAAGATCCTCATCAATGCCGAGGATCTCATCCGTTCTTCGCTCTGCAGCCCAGTCACGTAGTACTTTTCGGTTTATCTTGCCAGAGGCCGTGCGTGGCAACTCTCGCAAGTTCAAAATAGCACTAGGAATCATGTATGACGGTAACAACTTTCTGAGGGCAGCCAATGCTTCACGATTGTGGGCTCTTGACTCAACTGTTGACTCAACCTCAAGTCCAAAGGTGGAGGCCGGCGTCTGCGATCCCGAGCACGTGAACGCGACCAGGATTGCAGCAGCCTTTCCAGCCTCTCCATTAGCATCTGCAGGTGTTACAACCTCAGCAATGACCTGTTGCGCAGACGAGTGGGCACTCCGAAGACAGCTTTCAATCTCGCCAAGTTCGACCCGCTGACCTCTGATCTTTGTCTGTGTGCCTTTGCGGCCAACAAGCTGGATTGAACCATCTGATGTGCTGTATTTGACAAGGTCTCCCGTCAGTAGCCATCGTGGTTCAGTTTGATCGTCATGGTCCAGTCCAAGGCTCCAAGCAGGCCGCTCCACGAATGCGGCTGCTGTAGACTCATTGTTTCCAAGATAGCGCACCCCCAACGCGTGACTCTCGAGAAGCAGCTCGCCCTCAATACCAACACCTCTTAGCCGATGGTGGTCAAGCGGGTCGACTACCCAGCATTTCCCAGTCGTAGAGGTACCAAGGTTACCTGGATCATGGAAAGAAAAATCGATTTGATTGACGAGAAGTGTACTGGCAGTCTCGGATTGGCCGTACATGCTGTATAAAATTGTATGATTCTTCCATTGATTGACATCGGCGGCGGTGATTGGCTCGCCTGCCAGTATCAAACTCTCCAGTGCGGGAAATTGACTTGGAACAAGGGTTCGTGCTATAGTAGGAGTCATGGATGCCCAAGTAGCTTTGCATTCAGCCAGAGTGGCTTCCAATTGATTTTCAAGCTGCTCCTCTGACGGAAGACAAATGCATGCACCGACAGCCAGTGCAATGAGTTGCTCGAGTATGCTGACCACGAATGCGTATGAGACGGACTGAAATACCCGTGATGTCGGTCCAAGCCTCGTCCTTCTGCAATATTCAGCGATCCCGGGTCCAAATGATTCTCGATCTATCTGAACCCCTTTGGGTTCACCGGTCGACCCAGAAGTAAAGACTGCATATAGAGGGCCGTTCAAAACAACGCTTTCGACCAGCTCAACATTTTTTGTCAAATCTGGCTTTGAATCCACTTGAGTAAGAGGGACGCCCAGTTGAGCAGCTTTGGCTTGGTGGCCGGATGTCGTAAGTATACGATGCACACTGGCGATTCGACACATAGTCTTGAGCCGCTCAATAGGAAGAGACGGAGGAAGGAAGACAAATGCAGCCCCGGATTTGATCACACTCAGCATAGCTACCACAGTAGTCACTGATTTGGACATCAGAAGACCAATAAATTGGCCTGGTCGCACACCGAATTCATCAGAAGCAATATTGCTCGACAAGCAGGATGCCCATTGATTGAGCTCCGCATAGGTCAGGCTTCCATCCCAGGCAGACACGGCGAGTGCAGATGGATTGTTAAGAAGTTGTGAGTTGATCAATTCGTGAACGAGCACAGAATCTTCGTCCACTGTGAGTGCCCCATTGCGTGAGACATGCCAATGTCGCATCTGGGATATTCCTTCTTCGCCCACTATCCGTGCATTTTGAATTGTGGAATCGGGATTCTCAATTGACGCTTGGACAACGTCCGCCAATTGATTGAGCAAAGTGTGCAGCTCATGTGCGGAGACGACCAAAGGATCAAAGAACGCCTGAACCACAGTCCCACGCACGTACAAGCTGAGCGGATACTGCTCCTCAATATCTTCTGCATCCAGGTCATGAATATTGTCTCCGATGATCATCAGGTTTCGAAACTTGCAAAGCACGATGTTGCTTGGGTTTAACGCGCTGAACTTTTGTAGTCCCATGTGGTCGTATTTGCGCATCTGGTCATCATACCGCGCTGCAGCCGCGACGACATCATTGACAGTATCGGTGGGAGGTATTTTCAGACAGAATGGGTAAATGGCTTGGTTGTCCATGGCTGTTTTACGACCACGATAAGCAAGACCAAAGAGGACTTCATCACTCTCAGTCCAACGGGCTAGGACAGCGCCCCAGGCAACTGGTAGGAGATATGGAGAGCCGAATTCGTTGCAATGAGACTTGACGTGCCTCGAAAGATCCAAACTCAGCGTTTCTCGTCGTGAAGGGCCGCCCTTGTGCGGCCCTTGAAGTAGCGGGGGAAAATGACGGAAGGTTGACACATCTGCGCCATGATTGGAAGTGTAGGCCACTTCGGAAGTGTCGTGGATAGTCATGTTCAAAGATGGCCCTGTTGAATGAGGGGTTGAATCAATGGGAAAGGAAAAGAAATGTCTTCATATGCGGTCACTTTGGGAAGCTCATCTGTGCGCAACTCTGCAACACTGTGGCCAGGTATGTCGGATCCTATGTCCAGGTCCTCTAAATCCACAACCTGACAGCAAAATGACCACTTGACGATCTTACTGCATAGTTGTAGAATTTCTGCTGCAGGAAATCAAGCAGAAGGCGTCACGAACAGAGCCACTCGGGCAATCGGAATCTGACAGGTGCCATATACGCAGTCTGCCTGCGGAGACATGCCCAATCCTTAACCTCGCGCAGGAAGCCATATTCAATAGTCCGATGGGATGCATCGTATGCTGCATGACTAAGGTCTCGATCGGCTGCAGGCAAGTTTGCGGTGACTGAGTCCGATATCATTCACAATAAAGTTTGTTCTCAGGTTGCGATAGAGCGTCTGATTTTCCCAATTTGGACAAGGTTGACCATATATTGCAGGATGCTTCTACTGACCGCCTTTCCTCAAAACCCTTGGCCAGATGAGGTTAGGCGTAATTGAGGCCTCAGGCACCAACCTCTTGTTGGGAAAAATAGCACCGATTTTTACCGCTCAGAAGAAACAACCTACAGGCTACATGATACTGGAGTAATTCATTTGATGGTACTTCCCAACCTTGGAAAGCAGTTGGTTTCCTATAGGCCAAAACGACGACGGGAAAGAGAAGTAAAAAGGAAAAAAGGACGATCCCTATGGATTTCTACCACTCAGTCTATCACCTCTAATACAAATATGTAATATGACAGCATCTATAGCAGGGTGGAACGAGAGAAAAATCTAAAACAACTCATTTGAAACTTCGGCAATGACTCTGAAACCCCGAAAACTGTGGCCACCCCAATCTTTTATCGCCCTGCCAAGTAAGATACATATCCCTTCATCAGGTCACAGTCGAACGGTCGGCAATCTAAGCCACCCGGATACAACCTCAAAGCCCGCATCGTGTTGGTTTTATCATACGTGGGCATGTTTTCGTACAACTCCCATCGACTGAGCCCTTCGTGCACTTTCTCCGCCAGCATTGGGAGCAGTGGCTGCAGGCTGACATTTCCGCTGGCTGAAAGCTGCTCAATCCATTCCTCGTAGCCTACGCAGTTGATAGACACGCCCTGCGATTCGCCAAGTAGCTTCATGACATCTCCCATACCGATAGAATTATCGCGATCAGGGATCAAATGGAAGGCATGGCCATATGCAAACGTATTGGATGCAATATGTAGCATCGCGCTCACAACGTAGTTTGCAGTGATGAACTCCTTGCGCTGATTGGGTAAATGCGGATAGCAGCCCAGTTCTAAGCTGGCGCGGATCAATCGGCTGAAGAAGTCATCTGGATTGCACGCGCCGGTGATTTCATCGCCCGTGATGAAGCCTGGCCGATATACAGTAATCGGGAACCCCCGACTGGTGAGACGCTGCAGCAGTTCGTCGGCGGCCCACTGGCTTTGGGCGTATCCATGGTCAAACGTAAGCGCGTCTAGGTGTGGCATTAGGGGCCCATCTTCATAAACAACCTTGGCGCCAGTAACAAAGCCAGTAGGACCAAAACAGGAGATGCTAGAGCAATAATGCATGCCCTTGAGGCGACCGGTGGTAGCCAGCCGAGCTACGTTCACCGTTCCGACGATGTTGGCCGAACGATGAAGCGAGTAAGGCTGGGTGTAGTTGACCTTCGCCCCGAGATGGAAGATAACACTGGCCCATTCTCCAATTTGTTCAAATCTTCTTTGGCCCAAACCGAGCCAATGGTCGTCAAGCTTACCGCACAGTGGCAAAAGCTTTGGGAGAAAGGCATCTTGCCAGAGATTGTACTTGATCAATGCTGCTTTTAAGCGCCCCAGACCTGCGACAGGACTAGCTGCACGAACCAGGCAGCCAACTTGGTGCACATCTGGCATACGCAGAAGATCGGCCAGCAGATAAGCTCCCAAAAAGCCGGTTGCCCCCGTCAGAAAAACCCGGCCTTCGGTATCCAGACGCCAGTCAACAACCAAGCCTGGCAGAAGGGGCAGATCATCCCCAAGCAATGTATCGGCCACCCACATATCACGTTCATTGCGGACAGTGGGCATCGAGGCCCCTTGATTGGAGTCAATGATAGATACCAGCTTCCCCAGTGTCGAGTTGTCATAGAGTGTCAACAAAGAAATCTCAGTATTGAGTTGCTTGCGGATGCGACTGATCAACAATGAAGCCTGAAGTGAAGTGGCACCGTGTTCGAAAAAGTCATCGTCGTCCGAGTATTGAGGAACTGGGGTGGCCAAGATGGTTGCCCACAGCCCGGCAATGTGAGCACGTGTGCTCAAGCTCGCATCCCCCCAAGTTTCAGCCAAATGCTTAGCTCGCAGCTGGTGATAGATCTCACTCAGCTTTTGGCGGTCCACCTTAGCATTGGAATTAAGAGGCAAATCGGCGACAACCTGGAGGTGTGGAACCATATAATCAGGTAACGTTTCCCGTAGCTTTTGCAACGCGTCTGACACGGCCCCAGGACCAGCAGTTGGCTGAAGAACAACAAATGCCACCAGGGTGGCGCCCGCACCTTCCTCCTTTTCATCCATTCGCATGGAAAAGCCATTTGTGAAAAAGCCGGTGTCCATGACTGCCGCATCAACGGCGCTGAGCTCGATTCGGAATCCTCTGATCTTCACCTGGTGATCTCGGCGCCCGAGGAAATCATGCTGCCCATCGCTGCGTCGCCGTACCATATCTCCGGTTCGATACATGCGGTAAGGCTCACCAGTATCGGGGTTCTTATATCCATCGACGGTGATGAAAGTTTGAGCGTTTTTGTCAGGCTGATCAAAATAACCAATCGCCACACCGGGCCCCCCAACCAGCAACTCGCCTTCTTCGCCGTCAGGAACAATTTGCCCTGCATCGTCACACACACAGCAGACATTGTGACCGATCGGCTCGCCAATGCTGACACTCCCGGCGTCTATGTCTGCCATGGTGATCTCATGAGTGAGGCAATAGACGCAACATTCTGTTGGCCCATAGGCGTTCATCAGATGCTGTGGAGGGCCGGCCTCCAGAATTGTCTTCATGGCAACAAGATTGACCGCTTCTCCGCCCATGAGGACCACCCGGAGAGATGCGAAAGTTGTCGGTGCCGTGCTTGCCGCCAAGTTCACCAATGGCGCTGTGATAGCCATAATGGTAATGCCGAGCTGACGGATGACCGCTCCCAGATTGGCGATATCCAGTAATGTTGATTTCTGCAGCACGCCAATGGTTGCACCGCGAAGTAAAGCCCCCCAGATATCGAAGAGCGCAACGTCAAAGCTCGTATTGTTGCAGTGACCCACAACATCTGTCTTCTGAACAGGCTCATAAGGGGCGTGGTGTGAAACATGAAGGATTGAGATCCCTCGCACCTGCACCGCCTTAGGCTCGCTGGTTGTGCCGGATGTGTGAATGAGGTGGGTGCAATGCCCCAGATTTGTGGCCACGGGAAGAGGAGTGTCTTTCACGTCTGTCAGCCCGTCATCGAGCTGGGGTATCTCGCCAACTGCGAGGTGGTTGAATGGGAGGGGTCGGGATTTATTGACTTCGTCGACTAGGATGAAACGGGCCCCAAGTCTTTGTAGTCGACTTGTGACTTGTCGGTCTGGCAACAGAGGGTTCAGAGGTACACAGGTACCGCCGGCGTAGATAATGGCCAGCTGCGTCACGGCATCGTATATTCCATGATGGACAAGGATGCCAACAGGTTCTTCCGTCACAAGGTCTTGCTGGCGGAGACTTTGCGCCAACGTCAGAGCGGTCTGATGGAGAAGTCCGTAACTGAGACTCGTGCCGTCTTCGTCGATGATTGCCAGGGCGGAAGGGTCTTCTAGCATCCGCTGATAGAACAGTCCACCCAAGCCCTCGCCTGAGGAGGCAGCGACTTCATACTCGGATGCCGGAGGACTGGTTGATCCCATTTTATTGTGTTGAAACAAGATGAGATATGAGTTGAATCTGTTTTTGGTCAAGAGATAGGAAGGTTTTCTCTCTTTGAAGAATATATAAAGCAGCGAATGATTTATCAAGTCAAGGTAATTATCTCAATTGGGGTGTCACTCAGCTCAACGACATGCTAAGTGCATAATCATCATCTTCTTCTTTTTTCTTTTTCTTTTTCTTTTTCTTTTTTTTCATACATCGGCCTTTGCCACAAGTCTGGACTAACGAAATACATCCCGTGATTTCTCCCTTCCATGGCTAATCATGCATAGGCGATCCTATGTACTTGAGCAGCTTAGGTGATTGCATCATGCAGGCTTAATATCAACACCGCTGTCGATCCAAGATGCCGAGGGAGAACTCAATCGGTTTATGCATAAATAGCTTTTCTAAGTCACTCTGATCTCCACTTCCATGCACTCAAATGGTACTTAAGTATAACTAGCTGTTTCTATAGGCGGCTTCCATAGTTCACGTTCTATGAGATTCTTTCCCACGTCACATGGGTTCAGTGTACTTGACACAAATGTTCTACTGCTTCTATTGAGCTACATATGGAAAGCGTAGACTTAATCAAAGTACCACCTACCTACGCACGTTGCAATAGTGTCTTTCTTATGCATGGTCAATAACGCCACGTAGACACCTATCTACTTCCAAGATTTCTCTGCATTGCGGTGTAAAGGGATAGATATGAGACATGGATAGATCAGCCGGACGAAAGCAGAGAAAGAGATAAAGCTCCACATGGCATGTCCCAAGGTTGGTATGATGCATGTGCAGTACTACGAGTACGAGAACTTAACCAGATTTACAGAGTACTCGTACAAGATATGGAGGGGATCCACATCCTCGAATCGTATGTATGATATCGTTTCGGAGCTCTTGCGTTCGCTGGTGGATATGAGATGACATTCTCCGGTTCAAAGTTCTCATTAATTACAAGATCGTGATATATCGAATACCTGGGCGGTGTCGCATACACAGGTTCTTCCAACTCCACAACGTACACGATTTGAGTATAGTTACCCACGGAGTACTCCGTACTCGGTACAGGTACCCGCTAATGCTGATCCTCAATATTTCATACCGCAGGAATTGACCGTGCGGTGGATTGAGTTGAGGCTGGCTGAAATGATCACCCCTGCTTACGGGCTGAACGGATGTGGCCGGTAGAATACTCCGTCGTAAGCCAGAAATGAATATTTTTTACTCGTATTTGCGAGGTTGAGATGTACGGAGTAAGGAACTAGCTCATGCTGTGGTCCATTTTTGGGCGTTCGGGCAAACCTAGATACTCCGTACGCAGTACGGAGTACATGACTCTGTATTTCCCAGTCTCTATTGGAACCTTCATGTGCTGACGATCCTGCACAGGTAGATGTCTTGTTCGCCGGGCCTGCAGTGGGACTCCTTTCTCTTTTTGCTTTTCCAATTTGTGGAGCTCTCTCTCTCTCTCTCTCTGTCCCCATCAACTGCGACTCTTCAAAGGTGCTATCGATTCAAGCAAAGCAAGGTTTATTGGTTGGGTTGAGACGGGAGAACTAGAGGAAGCTCAACTATCTACTGAACTTATGCAAACATGTCAAACACCAATATTACCTCATTGCATAGTAATACCTAGGTAAGGCCCCGGAGATAGTATCCGAACTGCGTTGATTTAGACTATTTCAAGTTTGGGCTGGAATCTCAAATAGTTGTACTCCGTACTCGTCTTGTTGATGCACCGGGCAACTAGTCTTGTACGTGCCAAGAAACTTCATCCAATTCGCTGCCAACCCTTTCTGAGTGAGGAGCTCAGTCTGAATAATGACGTGGCTCGCAGATCTTAGCATTGATGTTCTCAGGGAAGGGCAGCTCAAGCTATGTTCGAGTAGTTAGGGTTTGCGGTGGGTCTTCTCCCGGCGAGTTCACCTCGACCGGTTGCAGGGTGAGAGGGCGCACTTTGCTCCACAAAAAAGGCACTGATCCTCAGCCGCCTATTCACCGTCAAATCCCCCCTTGCACTCTCCGACCTGCGTATCGCCCCCTGACCTTCGTAGGATAGAAAAATTCCAGTAAACTCTCCGAATTCTATCCACCGACGGCGGGCAACGAATACTCGATGAAATTACAGGGAGAACAACGAATTTTGCGAACGCTTGGATTGGTGGTCTAGCTAAAAATATAGAGGGGGGAGCAGAGTCTTCTGGAAGGATCCTCAGCGGTGTACAAGGGCAGAAAACCTCCCATCACAGGGCGAACGACTGACCGCCTTTTATACCGCCCTCATGGAGCGTACGGAAATACCAATACGAGGATAAATTACCGATAAACACATGCACTGTCTCACTAGCTTCGATCGCCTTCCTCAGACCCTGGTCGCTTTTTTTTTGACGTTTTTTCTCTCGTCAAATTCCAATTTATTTTTCGAGACCGCGTCATCACCCCCTCCTGCATTGGATTCAGGTATCAATATTGCTTTCTGCACCTCGGATCGAAAGATCAGCACCGTCACGTAGCACGTACTCGTATGTCGATGTCATGAACGTTGGATACATCCGATTAACAAAGAGCCAGAAGGTAACTGGCCTTAGAAGTCCCACAAGAGATGGCTCATAAACAGCGGCCCGTGAAGCTCCTGGATGCTTTTTCCTACATCTGTTCAGGAGGCAACGACCCAGCTCTTTTTACGTCTGACTCCTGGTCTCTTTGCCATTTGAACCAAAATTTGCTACTAATTACATCAACAAAATGACTGTTACTGCTCCTCTGATCACCGTGTTCGGTGCGACCGGCAACCAAGGTGGCGCTGTCGCTCGCTCGTTGGCAAAGAATCCCTCATTCAGAGTTCGAGGACTGACCCGAAACCCCACTTCAAGTGCTAGCCAGACACTTGATTCACAAGGTGTGGAGGTTCACAAGGCAGATGCGTTTGATAAAGATTCTATGCTCTCTGCATTTGCAGGTTCGTGGGGTGTTTTTGTCAATATCAACTCGGATGACAAAGTAAGAAACTTTGCTATACCTTCAGCTAGCCTGGCTAACAGAAACATAGTCCATCAAAGAGCATGGTTTGACTGAATTTGATATGGGCAAGAACATTGTGGATGCAGCAGCGGAAGCTGGAGTGCGTCATTTCATCTTCAGCTCTGGGCCCAACAGCCTGGAGATTACTGGCGGAAAAGTCAAAATGAACGCTGCTCAAGGTAAATTGACCACATGGTTTATGTTTGACTTTGAAACTAATGAATGTCTGATAGCAAAATACGAGATTGAGCAGTATGCGCGTGGAATCGACCGCTTTGAAACCGTCAGTTTCATCTGTGTCGCATGGTTCTTGGAGAACTTTGCTATCAAGGAGATTGCACCCATCTTCGGCGGTTTCCCTCATATGCAAGATTCCGATGGATACCTGACCTTCGTCGCACCAAAATGGGGTGGGAAAGAAGATGTTCCCTTCCTCAGCATTTCTGAAGACCTTGGAGATATTGTGCAAGGCATGTTCCTTGATCCTGGACGGTGGAACGGCAAGGTTGTTCACGGCTGCAGCGATATCTGTAGCATGGACGATGTTGTATCTCAATTCGAACAGGTGACTGGACGTAAGTCTCGCTTCCAGTCACTTGATTCTTGGCAGGCATTCAACACCCATGGTGTTGCCGAATTGGAGGACACCAAAATGATGTTTGGAATGACCCAAGAGAGCGGAGGAAGGTACTTCGGACCGGAAGCTTCTGAGAAGCAAACTGCCTCGGAACTCAAGCGCAACACTGCATTGGCTATGGGCTTGCCTAAGAACCAACAAGAGTTGATGACAGTCGAGTCCTGGTTCCGCAAGCATTCCCCCTCATGGTAATCTACAGCCATGCTGAAGTCTCTTGATTTCCTCGCAAAATGAGCATTGGAAGCAGATAGACGACGCCTCGACCATACCTTATAATAGAAACACAAATTTCTATCATAGTACGGAGTACGGAGTAGCATTAAATGAGATACTATAAGATTTCTCACAAGTCTAGTCAGTTCAATAACCACGTGCCACAGCTCTAGAGACACCTGCCAGTTGCTCCGGGTTGGCGATTTGGATATTTCTTTTCTTTTGCAAAAGATCACTTGACCGAAAATCGGGAAATGTTGGGTTCTTTAGACCATGCATTGCAGCTCACCGGTCTTTTCTGAGGGACTTGGCTTGAAGCTGCTCAAGTGGCTGCAGTATTGTGCAATGTGCATATGCCGTATCATATTCTTCACGTCCGCTCACACGAGTCCGAATCCGTGCATCTATCAGTTGAATACGATCCGATCGACGTTCAGCCCAATTGAATATTCCAAATTGCTATCGCTGATCATACTTTACTAGTACATTTTTCGATGCTGCAGTAGGCGGTATGGTTCTAAAGTTCATCCTCTTTAATTTGGTCTGGTCTTGCCCCACGCGTGTCGACTGCTCAAGTGCGTCAGTCATTGCTATCGCCACGTCACAAAAGTTCTTGTTGTAGTCTGTAACTTGCAGTATTTTGGGAGAGCGAACTCTTATATATATATATCTGCATACTTCTAAAGTTGCCAGTACTCTGTAGATTACCCAGGTCCACAGAGACTTAAATACTGCAAAATCATGACGGTCACAGAGAGTCTGATTAGTGTTCTTATCGTTGGAGCTGTGAGTGGGATTCTAAAGTTCATTAAAATTGTCCTGTCCAAGGTTTGGGGTTTGAAAGATCAAGTTATTGACTGCTGGCACTGCGACATTTCAGGGCCCATCTGGGTAAGCATTTTAAACCCACCATCAATATACCAATCACGATATCTATTTGTGATGAACTTTCGAGGTTCAGACTAATGTTTTTATTTTCGTCTTCCTAGATTGAGCGCTGCACTATGGCTGGCACAATTGGGAATCGACTTTCGCATTGTGGATAAACGATCCGACCAAACAAGAAAAGGCCAAGCAGATGGGTGAGTAGCTCAGGCGAAAATTCCAACCCACCACTGATCAAGCTATCATAGCCTCAACCCAAAGACCATGGAGATTTTGCAAGCCTTTGGAATCCACGAAAAAGTCACCAAACGCTGGCAGCCTGCGACAGATGAAATGCTATGGCTACGAGGAAAGGACGAGAAACTCACGAGAACGGAAAGGCTCCGCGCCCATCCTCCGTATGGAATCCGGTGTGTATCAGCGCCCTTCTTATGAGAGTTCCCTATTGAAAATATGCAGGTGGACCCATGGCACACTACAACAGGGCGAGGTTGAGGAAATTATCAAGAGACGAGTGAAAAAGATCTCAAGTGTCACTGTGGAGTATGATACCTCTCTCTGCGCACTGGACTTCGAGACTCAACAACTCTCTTCCCCCGATGCATACCCATGCCTCGTTTCGCTCCAGTCTACGCGTGGGGGTGTCACACAGGTTGAGCGAGTACGGTCCAAATATGTCATTGGAGCGGATGGGGGCAAATCAACGACCAGGGCCCTCCTAGGTTTTGACATGCTGGGCGAACAAGGCTCTTCTATCTGGGGTGTTATGGACTTCAAAGGGGCATCGGACTTTCCAGAGTATGTGACATGCTTCATTCTCTCCGGAAGAAAATTAACAACCATGTTCACTCTAGTTTTGGTGCGACTTCTATCATCCGAAGTGATATAGATGGAGCGGTGGACTTCGTTCGCCGTGAAGACGGCTTGGTACGCATGTATGTTGAGCTCAACAAGGGTCAAGGGTGGGAAAATATCAAGAGAGAAGAGATTACCCCCGAGCTTATTTCGAGCAAATGTCGATATTTGCTGCGTCCATATACGGTTGGTTATTCATAAGTCATTTACTTCCAGACTGTCTGGTTTGCTAATACTTCTTCTTGCGTTCAGTTGGAAGTAAATGAGTGTATCTGGTAAGCCCCCGATGGACAGTGGTGGGTGACTTCATTACTTACTCTTTGCAGGTGGTCGGCCTTTACGGCAACCCAGCGATTCAGCAATGCAACAAGTAAGCATCGCCATGTCTTCCTTGTGGGGGACGCAATCCACACGCATTCACCTCTCACTGGGATGGGCATGAACACAAGCATACAGTGAGTTTTCGAGCAACGATACAATATGACAGCGAATTGACAAACAAGGGACTCCTATAATCTCGCCTGGAAACTTGCTGGGGTGATCAAGTCGCAGCTAAAGCCAGAGATACTAGACACCTACAGCAAGGAGCGAGGTCCTGTCGCACAGCAACTGCTCGAAGCTGACCGAACATGTCTGGAGTTATTTGCAACCCCTTTCGGCTCCGAGACATCATCGATCTTGGAGAGAGCGGAAGATCTGATGACCTTCCTTGCGGGCCGTGGAATCTGCTATTCAGATCCATTCTTGACATCATCTTCTCTCCAAGAGTTGGGACTTTTCAAACCCGGAGTGACTCTTCCGGCAGAGATCGTCACAAACCACGCGACAGGACGCTCAGTGTCAATACACAATTGTCTCAAATCTGATGGAGCTTGGTCTCTGATTGTTTTTTCAGGGGACATATCCTGCCCCGATCAAATGAAGCGTCTCCATGCCTGGGTGACAGAGCTATATGCATCACCAACAGCCACCCTGCTCAAACTTTCGGGACTCCTCGACGCTTTGCTGGTGCACTGTGCCCCTTGGAACGCGGTAAATCTGTCAGACTTTCCATCCGTCTTCTTACCCATGCATGAAGTGACTGGTCGAGACTATGACAAGATCTACCTTGATGAAGGGAACTTCTATGTAGACGCTGGTCTGGACCGTAAGTCCGGTGGAGCCGTCCTCGTGCGTCCAGATCGCCACATTGGCTGGGTTGGCACTCTGGATGGTATTGCTTTCCTTGAGCAGTATCTTTCTACCGTCTTTCAAGTTGGAACGCAAAGTTTAGAAAAATGACTTCTCAAGTCCAGATGTAGGTAACACTATGCAGTCACCACTATCCAATTATCAATATATTTCTTTTTCGTTTTCTAAAGTTTCGGCGTGATAGAAGGAAATCTTGGATTGAACTTTCCTCACCGCAGCTTAAATTTTGCAAATTACCAAATCTCTCCCATCGTTGTGTAAACTACTCGTACAACTGGTAATTTATTACCCCTTGAATCCACCAAGGCGTAAGATAAACTTGAATTACAGTATCTTTGAAAAAAAAGCTTATTTAATTACGACATGCTATTCACATGTAACTACATAGCCGTGACACTAGTCACTAGTGGTATTTTATAGCCGCAGCCATTGTTACACGATCTCGGCACTAGTGCAAAATAGTGGCGTAGAGTTTTGGCGCATGTTTATTGGCGGAATAAGTCGAGAATGCAGTTGATCATCATCATGCATGTTCATTAGATCTACACTGCACATCGGCCGGCTGAACCAAATCCAGGGCCCGTATTGAATCTGATACCTCGCGTTGAAGGGCATCGCTAACTCTTATGCACTCTCACGCTAGCTCGAATGTGAGAGTTTCCTCACTGATGCCTACTCCGTAGGGATGTAACAGATCCACCTGAGCACCTCCGAAATCGTTGGACGATCAATCCAGTGGAAAAAAATAGAATAACTCGGTCTACGGAGTACATGAAGTACCTATATATTTGCAGAAAAAAACAAGCGCTGAGGGGTGTTCTCATGTCTCTCTACTTGAGTAGCATATCAACTGATTGTTACTGAAACACATGCACTTCCCAGGTGCAGTTGTCTCAAGTCTCTACAATTAGACCCTTTTAACATTTGGTTCCTATTTATACCCGAGGCTTTTGACGCCTGAATCTGCCAGTTGAGAGCAAAACTACGAAATGTTGTATTCTTGGTTCTTTTGGGTTCTAGCAATATGGAACAAGTCCTGCTCTCCCGCTACTACAGCGGTTCGTCGCGAATGGTAAGTTGTCGTATCTCACGTCTGGCATAAGCTACGCGTAAAAGCATGCCTGACTTGCTTGCTATCATCAATTGAATTCAACCTCTAACATTCCATGCAGGGGATCTTTGTCAAGAGGTGAGCGTCTTGATTACATCGACGCCGTTCATTGTATGCGACAGAAGCTGCCGGTATTGCCAATAGAAGAGTACCCAGGCGTTCGAAATCGAATGGATGATTTTGCAGCGTACGTCTCACACAGCCTGTCCAGATCCCAGACTGACTTTTGCCAAGCACTCACATCAATTACACCCTGAGCATTCACATCAGTGGGATATTCTTTGCCTGGCATCGACACTTTATCTGGTTATGGGAAAAAGCACTTCGAGAAGAGTGTGGATACAATGGATACCAGCCGTGAGTCTTTCTAGATTTCTCTGATTGACGAAGTTAACGAGTTTTAGATATTGGAATTGGGCGCTCTCTGCAGACGATCTATCCGCAAGTCCACTTTTTGATGGGAGTGATACTTCGCTTTCTGGCGATGGCGATCGTCCTGATGACTACGAATCGACAATTACTTTGCTACCTACCAACGTAACAATTCCCAACGGAAAGGGGGGCGGATGCGTAACCAATGGTCCATTTGCGAACACAACCCTCCATCTACCTGATTTGGATGCCGCACCAGGTGACGTTTTTCCCGACAACGCTTTTGCGTACACTCCACGTTGCCTGACACGCAACCTAAACTCCTTCATGTCGCGGTCCTTCACGAGCCAAAAAGATGTTGATCGTCTACTATCCTCTCCAAATATTACCACGTTACAACGCAACATTGATGTGAGTGTTTGGCCAACGCTCAATGAGGCGGGGATTATGGGACCGCATGCAGCAGCACATATGCAGCTGGGTCGAGCGATGGATGATTTCTGGACAGCGCCACAGGAACCAACTTTCATGTTGCACCACGCGATGGTCGACCGTATTTGGACTCTGTGGCAGGAGAAAGATCTCAAGAACCGGCAGTATGCGTTGAACGGGACGAGTACCATTCTCAACGCCCCTACTACGCCTGAGGTGGACTTAGACACTGAGCTGGCATGGGGTCCTTTGAGTGTGACAAAAAAGCTGCGGGACCTCATGAGCAACAAAGCGAATCATTTCTGCTACGAATACGGGAACTGAGGTAATTACTATTGTGATTCGTGTTGTTGAGATGAAAATACATAATCTGGGGCCTCAACACTTGAGATCACGCGTTATGCCATTGTATTGGTAATTACGACCATTATCTGTACCTAGCTAGTAGCTACACATGCACCAAAAAGAACTTTAGAGATGGTCTACACTTGATCCACATCAAAGGCTGAGTCGCATGTGATGCGTAAGCTCGGGATGATTCAAATGATAAATAAGAGCAATGGAGGCCGATCTCAAGATGTCTTTCACACCTCTTCCCTTTCGCCAACTTTGAACGCTTCCTCATCCCATATCCGATTACTATTGCTTCCAGGTGCCATGATGAAAGATTCTACTTTTAACGGCTTCGAGCTCACGTCGGCCGATTATACATTCCCGATGTTTTATTCTGCAGGCTCGCTTTCTCTACGGCTTGAAGCCCCCGAGACAGGTGTTGCTGTTCTACAGGGTGGCATCGAAAGACTGATTTCGCATCATCCTTTCCTAGCAGGGGTTGTCCTCCCGTCAGTGGAAAATCCAGGGACCTTCCGAGTCGCCCGCGCCAGTGAAAATTTACCCCCGGTCGTCCCCATGTGCACTGTGAAGCTGCTCCCACACCTGCAAATCCCTTCATCCAAGATCGCCGCGGCCCGTAAAGACGAGGCCGCCTACGACCGTGATCATCTTTTGACAGTAGTACCGGTCCATGTCGCTGAGTCTTCTGCCGAGCCACCCGTGATACGCTTCCAGATCAACATTTTGGGGAATGGTCTCATACTGGGTATATTTTTCAACCACACGGTGATCGATGGCACAGGATTCGGTGTACTGATTCAATCACTCGCCATTTGCTGCCGGGAGTACAACACGCCTGGTGCTTTTACCCAGCTCCCAAGCGATCCGAGCTACGAGCAATCTTCAAGGGCAATCCTTGCAACGATCGGCCAGGATATTCAAGCGACCAAACCCAAATGCGCTCACCCTGAGCCCACAATGCCGATTGAAGAGAAAACAACCAACAATGAAGCAACACATGATATGTCTCTGCTTGATTACGACTTCCATCTGTCGGCGGCAAAGATTGAGCAGATCTTAGAGTGGACTCGAGGCCAGACGGCAAACGGACGTCCAGTGCCCCATGTCTCTGCCGATGATATAGTCACCGCCGTACTCTGGCAGTCTCTCGGTCAATTCCGCGGTCACACATTTGAAGGGAGCCCTATATGTGTTCTACAACGGGTGCTGAACGCTCGTCGCCGCATCCAGCCGCCGCTGTCTACCAATTATCTCGGAAATTGCTTCATCTTCCTGGATTATCCGAAACCTAAGAGCGAATTGAGACATCCTGAGGGAACAGGTGAATTTTCTGAGCAGAGCTTTATCAGGCAAATCGGCTCCATCGCCTGCTTCCTTAGGTCGGATCTCAATACCATCGACGATCAATTTGCAAGGAAATACTTCTCAAAATATATGACTTCGGGTGGTTGGCCTGGTACATCAGCTCACACTGCGGACGTTGTGGTGTCAAGTGTCCGCCGGTTGCCAATCCACGAGCAGAGTTTTGGTGACGTGTTAGGGCAAGTGGCAGACTTCGAGATCCTTCCGTATATGAACCCTGAGGGTGTTTGTACGATCAAGCCATGTCGTGATTCTAATATTTGGGAAGTTCTCGTGACTTTGGAGAGAGAGGAAATGAGCTTACTTAGAAGTGATCCAATGTTTGGTTGGTTGGTTGAGAAAGAAGCTCCCACTTGTATCTTTGAGCCTGCGCCTTAGTGAGATATTCCGCAATTTCGGCGTCTGCAAGGTTTGTGCGACGATTATACAGATTCTGCTCAGAGTTCTTATTGTCGGGTCACATTCTTGAGGCATATTGCTCCGTCCCATCCAAATGTCATCAAATAAATGAATTTTTGAACCACATTGCAGTTGTTAGCTAAAGCATTCTTTGCTACTTAAGGGGCACCTCTTCTGGTTCTTCACTCAGCAATTGCTTCCTGTCTCTTGGATAATTTGGTGCAATGGCCCGGTGTTAGGCTTTCATCTTTTCGGGCACTTGTTGGCGGGACTAAGATGTTAACTACTCGTAAGGTTTCCGGGCGATAACAGAATGTGATTGGTCAAAGGAGGCTGCATCATGAGTCACGTGGTCTCACTTCCTTTGGAAACAAACAAATTACACTAGCCTGTTCGGGCTTAGTCTATTCTAACCACGTGACTCAGTGTCCAAGGGGCGCCTAGCCCCTGTCATCCATGTTTATCAATTGCTCGGGTCTTTGGGCAACAAAATTACAGTCGGACAAAGCAAGTTGTTAAAGATTTATCATTTCTTATTGACCCTGTTTCATACAAGCTCGGCCCACTTCACAATACACCATTCAGTGCGACCTTCACTTCCACATAATCTGAGTTACTCCGTTGAAGATTGGGATCATGATTGTGGTCACGCGAGGCTCAGATTTCGCGTAAGCGTTGAATGCGTTCATCTTGTCCGCAATCGCCAAATAGGGCTCTTGAATCTCCTCGGGGAAGTTTTTGGCAATTGATCGATCCAAGACCAGGCCTTCGAGCAGAACTATTACACATGTTAATGTTCCCGTCAGACTAAATCGGTATTTTGGACTCACCATCATCCGCTAGAATAACGCCTCGGGCAGACAGCAACTTGTTGTCCAGAATGTAGCGAGTGTAGGCCTCATATTCCTCCTCTGCAGCATCGATGTATATCAAATCGAATTCACCGGTCAATGTTGGAAGCCTGTTATTCGTCCTCAGTATAAGCTATGCTCAAAGCCAGACACACAACATGGATCAGGTACGCACATTTCAAGGCAAGGACCTTGGATGGTGCTAATTCGATCAGTAGCACCATGACGAGAGAAGGCCTCTTTGGCATAATTGAGGTATTTCTCTGACAGATCCATGCTCACAATCTCCGCCTGGGTTTTTTTGGTCGCTTCATAGAAAGCGAGCGCGCTGACTCCGGTGAAGGTGCCCAATTCGAGGACTAGACAGAAGCATTGTTAATCTGCTTTCGTTATTGATACATGAACCATGGCTTACTTCGATTGGGTGCCAGCGATTGGGTGAAGCCCATCAGCCACGAGCACTGCGATAGGGATGGCGCCATGACAACCTCATCTTTAGAGAGTTTGTCTGTGAAGTCGATTTGCTCCAAGATTGAAGTCGGTAACTCAGTGCTGTTAACCTCACAGTAGTCACCAGTGGTGGCTATCTGCTCCTTGGTAAATGGTAGCATGCAAGCGTCTCTCATCTTAGCGGTGATAATTGATAATTGATATAATGGTTAGGGACTTCAGGAAATGATTCAGACTCAATGATTTTGGCACACTTTGCGCAGATTCTCGAGACTCATTAATACTCTACGACCATGCTCCAAAGTAGCCAGATCGTCAGCAACCTGTTTGTCATTACTCGATGCAGCGGAACCTATATGCATCCAGGGCCCACTATCCATCTCGTATTTGTGCATATTTGGACTGCAGTGTCTTTCGATAGATCATCATGAATGTCAGCGGAACCACTATTGTCACTTTACAGATAGTACCCACTTGGCAATGCATGGCCATCGTAACAACTTAGAAGCACACGGGACGTGTACTAATGTATCCTGTACTCGTACCTCCCGAGAGCGACTATGCAGGTCTGTACCCCGTGACACCCCAGGCCATTTTCAGTGCTCTAGGCACTTCGGCATTTTCTAAAAAAATAGCCGGTACAGAGTACGAGTACTCCTGTGGTGGTTTGTGACGACATATATTGCCTGCGCCTAGACTTCAGGCTATCCTCTGCAATGATGATCGTGCTACTAAAGTTAAAAATAACTGGTTTTCCAGTAACTACTTAAGTACTTAACTCCAGGGCTATAAGTAGACTAGTTAGTGAGATAGTTATATGAGTTAATAGTTTGTTTATTGAGTTAGGTCATGCTAACGATTCTTACCAGGCTTGAGAACCTTTGCAAAAAACTTATGGTGTTTGCAAAATACCTGGTATTTTCTGCCGGATCTATCTATGCACTGCGTTCAAGTATTGTACGGTATCTTTCAAAAACACTCCGTACCCCCTCGCATTTAGCCAGCCTCCCCACCTGGGCACTCAGTCAGATAGGTATCTTGCATAACTACTCCATTATGCACATGCATTGTTCTAAAGTTTCACTTCGTACTCGAGCTCGGTCTCGCTCCTTATCTACGAAGTAGCTGGGATTCTGCATTTCTCACTCGCGGAAATGCACCGAGCAGGAAGAAGCAATATACACCTTTTTTTGTAAAAGAAAAATCCACTACTTTTTGGTGCATCTCGGTGTATCTGTTTACCTAAATAGTAACTTACTCCCTAATCCGTACATTTAGACGAATTAAATAAAATATTTCATACCCGGTGGACCTGTACTCCGTACTGTACCCACCCATGCACTTTCAGATAGTTTGTGGTAAAGCATTTATCTATGACACGTAATCAGAGCTAATGGATCGTTGGAGGCTGGAATCACAAGCTAGTTATTCTGTTGGAAGCGATGAATGTGAGACTTCGAATCTGAGCTTTGTGTTTCCCAACCTCACCGATTTTCCTTTCAAGATCACAAGCTCTCACTGAAGAAGGGTGAATGAATATCGCCCACTTGAGTTCAGTGACTTTCAACCTACCAAGGCGAACGAAATGACAAACACCACATCTTGGAATGACTTTTCGCAACAGCCTTCCAAACTATTTGAGCCTTGGCTTTTTGTCTGGCTCGGTGTGGCAATCATAGTGCATAAAATCGCTTACAGTCTTTGGTTTCATCCCCTTCGTCATATCCCTGGCCCATGGAGCACAAAAATCTGCGGTTGGTATGAGTTTTACACCAACATCTGGCTGGATGGTCAGTGGTGTAAGACATATCCAGATCTACACAAAAGATACGGTATGTCGCAAGTGAAATGCCTCAAAAAATGCTCACCTCAGTATTTAATTTTTTAGATTCACCTGTCGTCCGGGTTGGCCCTGACCATGTTCATATCAAAGATATAAATGCATATGAAATGTGTGTTTCCATCTATACTATGTTTCTTTCTTTTTCTAACCCTCGTCAGAATATTTCGCAATGGCACAAACTTTGAGAAAGACCATGTGTTCTACACATGCGCTGATAATGATGGCTCCATTTTCTCTCTCAGTAATAGGGATGAACATAGGGCGCGGAGAAAGGCTCTCAGTCCAAGGTTCTCGAAAAAGGCAGCCGAGGCCGACGCCCCCGCGATTCTCAATCAAATCAAGCTGTTGGAGGCGTTCATGATTCGGCATTCGAGCCTGGGAAAGAGCTGCAATGTCAGTGATCTATTCCGAGCTTTTGGAGTGAGTTATTACACCTTGGCCTGAGATGAAATAAACTGGACTAAATTGAACGAAGATCAATATAGTGGCGAAGACACTGCTCGGTGACTGTGACGACTTGGTTCGATATGAAGAGAACAAGCCTGAGCTACTTGAAACAGTGGACGGACTTTCTGTCATGCTTCCGATATGTTAGTACTTGCAAAAAGACATACATCCTCTCTAATTGTCTTCTCTAACCCAATTGCGAAGTGAGATTCTTTCCCTACATGGGGACTATAAGCAGTATGATGCCATCATTTCTCGCAGATCAATTAACTCCAGTCGGTGTGTTCAACTTCAAGAAGGTCTGCAACCCGCACCACTTAAGTGCCCGAGTTTCTATCAATTTTGACTAACTATGACCTTGGTCAATGCTCTAGGCATGTGAAGATTACTCAAAATCCATGATGGAGAAACCGATTCGCAGCAATGTTGAGAGCAGCCGCTTATCAGTCATCGAAATTCTCATGGCCCATAGTTTGGAAAACACGGGAAAACTTCCGGATCTGAATTATCTGACGGCAGAAGCCTTCACCTTCATCGATGCGGGTGTCGATACCGCAGGGCGAACACTAGCGGCAGCGGTATACTTTGTGCTTCGAGATCAGACCGTGCAGAGGAAGCTTCAAGAAGAGTTGGATAGCTTGTCAGTGTGGGACTCCGGGAACACTGAACAGATCGTGCGGAGCGTAGGAAAGCTACCTTTTCTGGTAAGTTCTTGCCGTAATATAATCCGCAGTGGGTCATTGGTGCTAACAATCCTCTCAGAATGCGGTCATCAAAGAGGCGCATCGTATATGGCCGTCGCTCCCGGGGCCACTACCTCGCGTTGTGCCCCCAGAAGGGCTACAAGTCGGGTCATACTTCATTCCAAAGGGCGTATGTTATCTATCTCTCCTCACTCTGTCTAGCCAGGATACTGATTCCCTCGAGACCATCATATCTGCAACCCATCATTCCATGCATTTTGATGAAGACGTGTTTCCTGAACCAAGCGAGTTCAAGCCCGAGCGTTGGCTGCGCGACAACAGAACGGATCTCGATCGGTATCTAACTCCCTATAGTCGCGGGAGCCGGGCTTGCATCGGGATTAAGTGAGTACCTGACGTTTGAAGAACCCCTTTCACAATGCTTATCTTATTCATCCTAGTTTGGCTCAGATGGAACTTCAATTGTGTTTGGCTATCCTGTTCTATCATTTGGACATGGAGCTTTGTGAGCCCGCTCCTGTAACATTGGATTGGAAAGATCATTTTGTCGCAGAGCCCACAAGTCAAGTTCTGGTACGCGCGAAACCAAGAGACAGAGGTCTTTAGTGGTGAATCGACATATAGGATGACAGGAAACCCATACGGCTATTCATGAATGATCTAAGTTGCAATCGCAAAAACGGCCTTTAGCCAGCTAGAATATGTGAGGATTAGAGTTAATTTTAGTATGGCTCAGATCCCATATCATTGTAGGATCTCTGCTTTCTTTACCCAAGGCTACTTCTAAAGTTCCACGCGGCTTGGTGATATGCAGAAATTATCTGTTGGGAGTATTTCTAATGTTTATTTGCCTAGTAGATAGGCCTGAGTCTGACGAAGGCAGTATCTGATAAAAGTCTCTCTCTATACGGAGTTTTTTGCTCTATGATGGTACCCGAGAGTTCATATATTTCCTAGCATTATCCATTCTGTACTCTCAAAAGGAGTTATCCAACAGAAAAGACCACACTCTACCTAAAAATCGAAGATACAAAGATTTCATCCACATCACTACGCTCAAACACAATGGTAAAGAATTCACCATCATGCTCAGCTCCCCAGTTTTGGCTGTGTCAACGTTTGCTCCTGTCTCACAGCCCCAGTTTCTGCTTCTGAATCCTCAAACCAACCCCCAGTAAAGTCAACAAAATGGCCACAAGGACACCCGAGAGAGGAATATACATCCCCATGAATGCATAAGTGTTCTCAATTGCCGCCATAACAGTTGCCATCTCCAGCAGTAGCAGGGTATGGCCGCTCCAGCGATGATACTTGTAAATTCGCTTTCCAGCGTCGACACTGCCGAGAACGGCGACAGGCACAAAGTATTGGACAACACCCATCATAGCCTGCAGCACAATAGTTATGCAAGTTGCCAGGCCGAGCTTGCCGTGCAGGGAAGTGAAATGCGGATAGGATGCTTCTATCTTGTTCATTTCAATGATGACGAAAGCCGATAAAAACATGATGACGCTGAGTAATTGCACAAGGTGATGGATGCGGGTGCCCTGTAGCTTCTGTTGTGGAGTGGTCACTGGTTGCACGATGAGCGTTGCCTGGACCTGGAGAAGGAGGGCGGAGACACCGAGCAACTGAAGCGCAGAATTCGTGTTAGTGATCGTACCATCCAGTTCTCAGATTCTTGATCGGTTTTTCTTACAGGATGCGGGGTGAAGAACGAGGGCGGTTGGGATAAGACTCCATTCCAGACCAACACCGCTAGCTGTTCAAGTCTGTCAGCGCTCCCATGGGCAAATTGTCGATTCGGAGAGATCTCACAATCCAAATTCCTGCTTGCGCAATACACGCCGTTCCTAAGCTTGGAGTCAGACGTGCTATTCAATCAAGAAGAGGTTCATTCTTACCACTGAAAAGATTCCGATAGATGCCCTCGTCGGATTTCCGTGTAGCACCTTCCCCATGATTCAACAATGGCTCATCGTCTCGAGCATAATCTGCCACAGAGTCATCTGGGAAGCTCCTAGCTGCTGGACTCATTATGGCAAAGTTGTTGAGAGGCTAGGACAGTTTCTGGGAGGAATGAGGGTGACGAGTGAACTAAGTCCCTGGTCAAATAGTATGGCTTTCATTACGAATCTTAGCCATGTCTGGGACATTGGACCCCTTGCGCAGTACGGAATACTCCATTCTACTGTACTCTGTAACTATACGGATTACATACATTATCCACCCCATGCAGTCAATCTCAATTTCGGAATGCACCTGCAACCACTAAACACACCGCTATTTGTGATTAATGGAGGATATCACATTTGTGCACGCTTGTTAGGTCCACTACGAGTAGATCTTTCTTTTATGTTTGCTTTTCTTGCTTCCAAGGATTTCCCGTCTGTGCATAAATGACGAACTTTGTGATCAATAAAACCTTAGGACAATGCAAGTCCCTGAATATTGCCGGGTAGACCCGCAGTCATCCGGTAATACGACGCTAAGCCAGATCGGGTAGACGGGAAATCAAGGTGTTTTAAATTACCAAAACTCCAATCCTTATCTCCACGCACGATCAGGGCTTCATCTTCATCTCGAATCACTCACTCCGTACGAAGTAATCTGTACTACATAAATATGATGTTTGGGATATGGTCAGGTGATCTTTGGTTCTCTGCCTTTCTCCCTCTCTTCTTCCCCACGCATCTAGAGCGCTTCGTTCTGTCCTTTTCCCTTTTCAGATATAATGTGTAACCCCCTGTCAGAAAGCTTCAAAGCATGCGGTGCGCGACAGGGCCATTGAACCGCCGTCGCTTTACCTGGCACTGGCTGGCAGTCGACTGTATGGCTTGTAGCAGTTTACATGGGTTTAATTAGATGAGTGTAGTTGCCTCGCTCGTGGGTCCGTGTCATTTACGTGGACGGAGTTGGTGACCATGTAGTCAGGATGAATACTATATCTTTTCACAGCCTTCATTGATTCGAAACGGCTGCGTAGATCGAGTAAACAGAAGAAAGCATACAGCAAAATTATCGTCAGACTGACAAAGCGATTGAAATTTCTGTCAGCATGTAGTCTCTCAACCCCATCCACCGATCAAATCTGCCTCCAGGGCTTCAAAAAGCAAATGGCTGTGTAGCAACCACTTGAGCATGATCTACCTAAGTACCAAAAAGACATTTTCGCTGAGGCATGATTGTAGACTACAGAGTCCATTTCAAGTACCGTTGTCCAGTCCTCTCAATTGATCTACTAGGGCCACTTGGGCAGCTAGTTTCCTGAGCACTTCTTGAGGCAATCCTGGCTGCTCTGCGACACAATCTGGAGTTAGCTGATGCAGGGAGCTATTCAGGAAATTGTGAAATGAAACGTACTCCGCCATCAATTTTGCAAAGAGTGTAGCAGTTGTTGGTAGGCTGAATATCCAAGGTTGTCAATGCACTGCCATCTCATGCTCTAACAGAATCAACTCACAACTCGCTTATCAACCTCAACTGGCGATGCAAGGGCCACGCCAACAACAAAAGCCAGAGTCATGTGAATTAAACGCATTTTGTACGGGATTGACTTCAGGAGGATAGGGTGGAAAGTCTGATATAGATAGATGAACTTTAAAGGACTGTGAAGTAAGAAGTGTTGCTTGGAGTACAATGTCGCAAGGATGGGCCCTCATTTTATATTCTTTTGAACCTATTTCACTCTGGGTATACAGTTTCATCTCTCGACTCTCTGTCATCCAGTGAACGAATCGAGTCTGCAGATGCTTTCCGCCCCCATTTCTTGTGCAGATTCATGGGACACGGAAATGGCATTGTAGAGCTGAATCCACGAATGCGCATCTATTTTCAAGAGCGCCAAGCATTGATCTACAGAAACACCGTTACATTGAGGAAAGTATGGAGCCTCTCCGTGAGTGATTGCCAGTTCAGCTTGGGAGGCCTTACAGTGCCAATTGGCTTGGGTCACACTGCTCAGAGGTTATTCACGTAGTTGCGGGGCAAGTCCAGCTTGCCCAAGGCGAGAGACAAGTTAGCTCATCCCTCATTGGCTTTGTCGTCAATTACCGCACGACACTACCCCTTCAGGAATTCTCTTGTGTCTCTTCTTAGGTTGAGTCAGGTGAGTGCTGATCTCTTTGAAAAGCATGATTTCGACTTCAGCAGTTGTTCCTTTGCATCTGAACTTTACATCGCCTGCCAGTCTTCCAAGGCTCCTACTTTTCTGTACACCTAGCCCTGCATATCTGCCTCAAGTTTTTCCTGGAATGTCGGATATCAAATGATCACTATCCATGAATATACATTCACCCACCTGATGCCTCGAATACATGATCCAGCTAATGCAGCCTACTCAAATCCCATATTGAGCTCACATATTACGACCAGAAAGGAGTTGCCCTGTAATATGCTACATTTCCTCCATTAATCTGCTTCTACGAGCAATGTTGTAAGTGTTTGTTCTGTTTGTTCTGTCTGCTGTGTTTGATGTGTTTGTCCTATTTGCTCCATCTGCTCCGTTCTGTTTATTTCATCTTTGTCCCTCCCTTCACGGATAAACGTCTAATATTTTCATGATCATATTCAATTGTCCTTTTGTTATCACTAAAGAATACTGCAATGCTCCAGATTACTTTACCAGATGCAGTGCGAGTCTGGGAGTACGGTGTACAGCAATCAAAAAGCGGCATGGCCAGACCCCAGACCCAAATGGAGATGATCGTCAGCGGACATTAGGCAGAAACATGAGGGTCGCGCGACAGCAGATGTGGATCGACACTGGGTTCTGGGCCTACGAAATGGAGTATTCGGTAGTATGGAGTACTTGTCAACTACGAGTAAATGGACGGGTTGGCGTAGTAATGTGTACCTGGCATTGGCTAGAAAATATCAGCTTCGCCAATGAAACAGAGAAGAGGGTAATTATAGCAATTGAGACGAGTATGTATCCAAGAAAATTATAAAAGGGTTCAGGAGGCGCCAAGTAGCATTGACGCCAGGCCTGCCAAGCAATGCCTTTGATGAGAAAACCCCGTCTCTTTAAATCATTCTCTTTCTCTCTTGAAGGGGAACATTGTTCGACATGGCGATCCCCACCAAGTTGCCTTTCTCCAAACGGCGGCTTCGACCGCGCGTGATCATTTCGTGTGTCTCGTCGTTTTCCCCCGCATTTTAATGAGCTAACAGTGAACTCTTGACAGCTACATCCTCGACTACGTGATCCTCGTGTATGAACCCTCCAGTGTTAGCGCGATTTCGCGAGAGCTAACATTTGAGTAGCGCCTGTGTTATCGGCTTCTGGATCCTCGACTCCGTCGAACCCTACCATCAACACTTCTCCCTCCAGAACATCTCGATCCAATATCCCTATGCCGTGCACGAGCGCATACCCATTGCCTATGCCCTCTGCATCTCGGGCGCTTTCCCAGTAGCGCTAATCGTCATCTACACCCTCTTCATCGATGGCTTGTTCTCGCACAACAAACCACAGGATCCGGTTTCGGGAAAGCGAAGGCTGACTGGCCCTCACCGATGGAAGGATAGACTTTGGGAACTGAATTGCGGGATTTTGGGTCTGCTGTTGGCGCAGGGAATCAATTTTGTGATCACCCAGGCGCTCAAGACCGCCTGTGGCAAGCCCCGGCCTGATCTCATCGACCGCTGTCAGCCACTGCCAGGCAGCAAGGATCTTTTCCCCGGCCTGTCAAATTCTACAATTTGCCAGGGCGATCCTGCGATCCTGAAGGATGGATTCCGGTCATGGCCATCAGGTATGTGCAGATTAAGTGCGATAATACTTTGCCCGTCCGTTGCTAACATTTGTTCCCCCAGGCCACAGCAGCTGTATGTTTATCTTGTCATCGGCTTGCACGCTCCCCTTGGCTTGCAACCCACTGATTCATTACTGACCATATCTCATTGCAGCCTCATTCGCCGGTCTAGTCTACACATCCCTCTGGCTCGGTGGGAAGCTTCATGTCATGGACAACCGCGGCGAGGCCTGGAAACCCCTCCTGGTCATGGTTCCACTTCTCGCGGCGACCCTCGTTGCCGTCTCGAGAATTATGGACGCCCGCCACCACCCCTTCGATGTGATTACTGGCTCCATGCTGGGCACCGTCTGCGGTTATGTCTCATACCGGCAGTACTTCCCACCGATCACTGAAGCCTGGCGCAAAGGTCGCGCCTACCCAATCCGCACCTGGGGTACTGATCCCGCCGGCCCCGATGCTGTCCGGTTAGTTGGCAAGGAAGACAGTATGACCGCACTCCGTAACCCAGAGGATGAGCGCATGGATCCGGATATCCCCAGATCGGAACGTCCCAGACCGGATGACTCGACGTATCTCAACTCTTCAAATCCCTTTGCCTCGAACATGTACAATCGCCGGCCGCATGATCACGACCCTGATGGCGGTGCTTGGTCGTCCAGCGAAGATGACGTGACGAACAATGGCTATGAGATGCGACACGGGTATTCAATGTCGCAGAACCCCGCCGGTCGTCATATGCCGCAGTACGATCCGAGTAATGCGTATGTGTCACAGACACAACCACTGACCACCGAAGTGACGGCGGGCCCGGGACGGCCGTTGACGGACGTCCCTGGTCGAGCTATTTAGTGATGATTGATGTGATGACATTTGGTTATGATTTTAGTCTTGAGAGTAGTCTTTGCCGACAGGATTCGCTTGGCTGCCTTGGTATGATTTTGATTCGGGCATTATTGCGATGGCTGGGACGAGTCTGTATGAGTATGGGCATTGGAATAGCGACAATTGCCAAAATTGACATTCAAAGATTTGATTAATTTTCGCCCATACAAAGTTCTTGGTAGGAGATGTTTCACTCTACCTATACTCCGTCCATTTTGTGTCGAAGTGAAGGTCTCCACTCCCGTTGTCTTGACAACTACGCCCACGAGTATGTATGGAGTATGGAACACTTCGTGCATCACTACGCTATAGAGTGAATTCAAACATATGCAAGACATACATCAAACACCCAGTCAAATAGATTAAAGCAGAAACTTCCTAAACCCGCCAGGGCCACTCTGAGACCCTTGTCCCCCAGCCACCGTCATCCCGCACGCTGAGTCGCCCAGCCTCCCTCAGCCCAAGATGACGCTGCATCTCTCTTTTTTTTAATATTTTTATTCCCCTCCAATTTGTTGTTTTTCTTTTTATTTTTACTTTCTTCTTTGTCTCTCTGCATCTCTGACATCGTGCATACTGCACTCTGATCGCAACTGAGCCTCGTGTGGTAGCTCCCCCCCACGGTCTTGTCGCACATCGGGACAGTTGCCAATAAAACAACATTCCTCAGATCTCAGATCCGAAACTCTTTTTTCAAGATGATTGACAGTGTGTTCTTCATTTTCAATCGCCTGGTCGAGATCGTCTTTTTGATCCCGATCATTGGCATGCTAGTACGATCTCCAATCATCTCTACTTCGAAGTCCCTAACCAAAACATAGGCCTATTTCGTCGATGGCTACATCAAAGCAAACATGTTGACCCCATCCTACATCCTCGTCCTCTTCATTGTCAGCACGATCGCCATCTTTTGGGCCGCCGACACTCTAATCCGCCTCTCAACCACCAAACGCTCCGCGATCTTCGTCGCCTGCATCGATCTCTGCTTCTTCGGCGCCTTCGTGGCAGCCGTCTACCAACTGCGCTTCATCGCAAACGCCGACTGCGCAAGCTGGAATGGCGGCTCCGTCTGGATCTCCCTGGGCCCATTCGGCTCATACGGCCAGCGCACAAATAACCCGCTTTCGCTGAATGTCAACAAGACCTGCGCGATGCTCAAGGCTTCCTTCGCGATCGGCATTATGGAGGCGGTGTTCTTCTTCTGGACTGCGTTTATTGCGATGTGGTTGCACCGCACTCATCGCGAGGTCGTTGTTAAGGAGACGACGGTCCGCAGACGCAGCCACTCCAGTCGTCGCCACGGCTCCGGTTCGCACCATCACTCCCGTCATCGCAGCTCTAGTCGCAGCAGACCTGCACACTATGTTGTTTGAGGGGGAGTTTCATCTTTTGATTTACGATTTTTTTTTCTTAATTTGTTTTTACGGCTTTCGCATCCCATGACTCTACGATGGATGCTATAATGAGATATGGATTGGGATTCCTTGGATAACGATATGATGTTGAATGTTCAATGCAGTTATGGATATCATGCCTTGCCAGGGAGGTGTGATCTTGCGATTGCTATGTATGTGAAAATGATCATCTGGAGATATTTCATTTCTACAACTTTTCACTGTATTCTCGGGAATCTTACATGATTTTATTTTACTTAACTTCCAAATGTCACATATGTTATCTTCTTGGACCTGCTTTGCTGTTCACACTATTACTTCAGGGACTCGTCAGGCTTAAAGTCGTTGGTGGAAGTGAGAGAACATGGGGGCTTGGAGATGTCAAGCTGTTTCCATTGCGAATACCGCCGATCTCGGCTGTTGTAGATTCCCCGCAGTTCTTCCTCGCTCGATGGCTCAATAGGTGACAGTCATTGGGATATCTGATACCACATTGGCCAATAATCAACCCCAGGTTCTACCAATATGGCTGTGACAAAACACCTTCGAGATCCTCCACCATTGGATGAGCTCGCCGCAGTCATTGAGAAAGCACTACTCTCCAACTTCAAGACCGCAAGTGCAGCAGTTGTCGAATGCCCCGATCTGACACAACCACCCTTCAACCTCGCTGCATCTGGGCTTTCTGGAAATCCTCGCATTGCAGACATAGGCGGACAAGGACATCTATTCCCCCGACCAATCCTCGAGGCAAAGTACTCACTTCTCCATCTGGCCCGGGATATGGAAATGTCTCCCAATGCAGGATTTGTGCTCGGAGCAGGAGCCGCTCCATTCCAGGACATTGGCCTGAACGCCGAACTGGCGCCCAATCTCTGCTGGCGGGCTAATGACCAGACGGGTAGCTTCGACAATCCCAGCTCAATGTCTATACATAATGGCTCACGCGTGATCAAAGTCAACGAATCTCGCGAATCGGTATGCGAGCAAGCCCGAACCACGAATTGTGCATTAATGGTCAATCTGTACGGGTCGGATGGAGAGACCGGCCCGGTTCTCAAGATCAAGGCTAAGACACGGACGGGTGTCATGAACTTTCCAGACTGTATACGGTCTGGTCTACGAGATGTCTACGGTGATTCCAGACCGCTTAGTCTAGGTGGTGTGTTTCTCCTTGAGTCTGGGAAAGCCAAGTTTCATATTATGCCTGATTTTCCTGCTGAAGATCAGTTGCCATTTAGAGATCGGACGCAGCTGGAGAGGGAATGGCTGGTTTATCATGTATTCGAAGCTCCTGTCGTTTGCTTGACTGTGATGCATAGTGCAGATCCGGAGGGACTGGGATTGAGGATGGAGCATACTCACTGCTTTGAGGCCGGGGACCGAAAGGGTGGGCACTATCATTATGATGTCCCTGGGGACGATGAGGTCGGGTATGAGGCTTATTTCAATGTGGCATCTGTGGTGTATAGGATTGATCAACCGGTTTGATCTTGATACTTAACTTCTAGAATCAATTCCAATAAGTCAGAGATCTGTATGTCTTTGAGTATTGCGGAGTCAAAATGGGCCCTCCAGTCGGCAGTTGGCAGGGCCCCACGTGCGGCAAGTATATCATTCGCTTCTGTTGATCTTTTTGTTTTGCACCTCATGGCTATTTGACTCGTCTTGGACAATCCTCATAAAATGCTCGAATTTATCGCATCACTATACATATATGGATTCTGAACTTACTTCCCCGCCAGTTGTGAGTGCCCTACGGGAATCATTTGGCGATCGCAAACCACCTGATATCACTCGCAAAATCACCGCTTGTGTGGCATGTCGAAAACAAAAGGTTGGTCTCCGCGTTGGAGAAGGCAATGAAACCCGCTAATATACCGACAGGTCAAATGTCATATGCGAGAGGGACAGGTGCCATGCTCTCGCTGCAAAAAGCGAGGTCTCCCCTGCAGTGTGAATCGGAGCCTACAGACCCTGCTGGAAGAAGATGTCACGTAAGCAAACGGTGTGCCCTTGATCTGCTGGGATGTGCGACTCATATAGCCCAGGTGGAAAGGGGCAATACAGCGGAAAATGCGACGACTGGAGGAAACAGTAGCGGCTATGGCAGCTAAGATCGACTTGCCAGAGCTCCAAGCCAACGAAGCAAATCTCGAGCCTCGAGAAAATTCCATAGGCTCTACCGTGGAGGCTATCACTGCAAATCCTGGGATTGGGACGAGTCCTTCCTTGGGGCAAACCTCTGGCTCAAAGGAATCTCGGAACCTCCCACAGACGTGGCAGGTGATCGAAGATCCACCGGGAGGTCCTGCTTCTATTCCAGCCTCATGTGTCTCGGAAAACGGGAGAGCCGGTCACTCGAACAACCCACCAGATTCCCGTCGTCCAGACCTGATCTCGACCGGACTCATTTCCCTCCGGCAAGCTCTAACACTGTTTGAGACATACCACCTCTGGCTTGATCATTTCCTCTATCGAATTTTGGGCGACCATATCAGTCTAGACTTCGTCCGGATTGCCTCCCCCTTGTTAACGGCAGCTGTCTGTACCGTTGGGGCTCTGCATTGCCGATCGCTTGGTCATCTCTTTGGCACATGCTTTTCTGAATACAAAGGCCTTGTGGTATCCCAAACATTTTCAAGACATGTAGGTGATGATGATATTAGAGGACTGTGTATCGGTGCATTTTGGCTCCACGAGCTTTCTTGGGCACTCATTGGAAACGGTGCGTTGTTTAGAGATCTTTTTCGAGGAGTATACTAACATGATCAGCCGTTCGAATCGCATCAGAGATCAATCTTCACAGTGGGATATACAAGGCGCTGAAAGGAGACCGCGACGGCTACCTCCGAGCCCGGTTATACTATCTTGTCTATGTATGCGACCATCACTTCTCCATTGCCTATGGAAGACCTCCCATGTCCAGGGAAGGGTCCATCATCGAGTCCGCCAGTCAACTCCTAGAGACAGAGCATGCAACCGAGGATGATGCCAGATTGATCAGTCAGGTTAAAGAATGGTCGATTATGGGTCGTGTATTCGATACATTTGGCGTCGATGTTGATACCTCTATTGCACCGCAAACACTACCTCAGCTACGTCGGTATTCAATATATCTGGATACTTGGTTCGCTGATTGGAACGAGCAGTTCAAGGCAAATCAAAATGTGGGAAACTACCCGCAAAAGGGTGTTGGGTTTCATTTCCACTTTGCTAAGCTGTATCTATGCTCTCACGCGTTTCGTGGAATCGCTGCGTCCACAAATATGGCCAGATGGATGTCCCCTGAGTTGGAAGATATTGCTAACACGGGCGTGCTATCAGCAATGTCTATTTTGCGAGTGATTGTGGAGGATCACGAATTCCGATCGTTTTTGAACGGCCTCCCTCTATACTTTGATACCATGCTGGCTTTTGCGGTTGTATTTCTTCTCAAGGTTGCGACAAAATTCGCGAATGTGATCAGAATTGACACCGCCAAAATCCTTGCCCTGGTCACCGATACGGTGGCTGTCCTTTCGGAGATCACACAGGAGATGCATGGAGAGCATCTACTCGTTGTTATTAGCGGAGGGTTAAAGCGCCTTTTGGAAAGATGTCAAATGCCCATGCCGGCTTCACACGAGACTATGCTGCAGCCTTCTCTGGAAGAACACCCAACTGCGTTTGATGTGAGTTGGATTGAGAATATGGCAAACTTTGATTTCCAAACTCATTCTCCGCATCTCGATGAATGGTGGCTTCATTACAATACATCGATGGGGCTCCCAGGCCGGTCAATGTTGTCTTGATTGATCCATTCCATGTTGATGATTATAGATACACCATAAGCTTGGGAGTCTATAAATACTACTTTAGTAGGACCTAGTAGGTCGATATTAAGCGATCTACTTGGTAAGCGTATAGCTTGCGGTACTAAAAAAAAAACCTTGGAATGGACCAAGACATTCAACGTGGCTATTGCCCTATGGAGGAGGGCAAATAGGGCAAACCAACATAAAAGTAACAAGAACCTTGGAAATCTTCATTTAAATCTTGGGGATCTGAACGTCGAACGAGCTGATAACTATATTTAGTATTGAGGAGAGAATGGTACAACCACGTCTCCAACCATGACTGTTCGGCGTCCGGGTTTCTCAGTATCGTATCCATCACTTTCATCAGATGCAAGAGTTGCATATCGGCCAAAGGAGACCTTCCCACCAAGGTTCCTAGTCTTAGCAAGGGTTGAGAATGGCTCATCGCGCCGAACCCCAGTGAATTGGTCGATGCAGACCATTTGACATCTCTGACATGCATCTAGAGCATCAAAACGTAGTTGACTTGGCCCAATCCGGAGCGATGACCAATTATCCTCGGCATAGGGCTGTTCCACATCACCGCGATGCGCAAGCCGTTCAGCCACAACAATATTCCCGCGAAAGACATCTGCTGCAACAGTCTTGCTATTCCCAACCTTACTATTTGCCTTGATGGTCTCGTTGAGGCGGTTGACAGATGACCGTGATACAACGAGAATAGGTGAATCATTGGAAAGAGAGATTTTGACTTGATCAAGATCGCGCACTGGAGATGAGAAATCTGAGGGAAAAGAGCCAGGCATGAGGAAATTGCGGAATCTGCTTTTCCATGTATTGTTCATGCGTGGTTGGCGGGAGTATCGAATTGCGGTTTGGGTAGGGAACCTTGCGAGCGTACAGGGGACACCCAGGAAATCCGAAAAGAATGCCGAAACCACCGGTGATGTGTATGCGTGCAGAGACACTGGCTCTCCACACACTGTCGTTGGCTTCTTGGTTGAACTTGGACAGAATGAAGTGGACACAAGGCTTGTATCCTCCCAACCGAGTGAAATCTCAAGACTGACTTGATCTGGCGCTGCTATAGCGCCGCAGGTAATTCGGAGAACGCCTTTGTCAATGTCTATTGAAGGTCTTATCAAGCACATGCGTGGATATCTGTTGTCGTTAGTATGGGATCCAGGTCGAAATATTTGTGAAGACAAACCGCTTCTGGTTGAGTGCTGCGCTTGTTCCTTGGTGTATCAAGCACCATTCTCGGTCCCAGGCCAGTCCTTCGCTCTTAACCTCCCAACGCTTGCCCTTGGGGATTTTGAAAGCACCACAGCTCTTGATTGGGAAGACTGCTAGGCTTTCAACATAGAAATGCGGTGCAACAACCTCACTGTTTGCCGCTATCGGCTCTAAACAAACGATGGGTGGAATCTTTTCCACATAAAACTCCTCAATGAAGCTAAACAGAGAGTCGATATCTCCCATGTTGGTCATTGCACCCAAACTAACACGCAAAATGCCAGTCGGCCGCCCGCCTAAAACATCATGGCTGTCACCACAACGCAATCCAGTCGAATAATGATTTCGAAGTTCAGGCCCAGTCCAGCCAAGGTAGGAAGAAGTTCCGCCTGGATTGCACACTGACCCAGTACGGATCTGGAGATTCTGAACAGTAGCCAGCTTCTCGACCTCTGTCTTTGGAATCCATTCACCACGACTGTTGCAAAGATTGAACGCGATTATGGGGCCTTGGGTCTGCAAGTTTGCATATGACGAGGAGTTTGATTGATAGATTTGACAGACTTTTGTTTCATTGAAGTGTGCCAACGCAGAAAGTCTGTCGTAGACTTCCTTGGTAAGGAAGCCCGTATGAGCCGAGATGTTTGACATGGAACCGTACAATCGTTGGTGCGTGTCCAAGGCCGCATCCAGGGCAATGATACTATGAAATGGCAGGGTACCATCTTCCAAACGTTCATGGATAGAGGTCTCTTTCTTCGCATGCCATTGGGCTCCGGCTGCGACGACCATGTCAACGGTGCCTCCGCCGAAGAACTTGCGTCCTTCAAGAATTCGCGCCGCACTTTTCCGAACTATCAAAGCCCCTAGATCGGGAAATCCGAATATTTTGTAGAAGCTGAGAACAGTGAAGTCTGGTGCAGATGAGGATGGTCCTAGGTCAAGAGGGGCAGTTGATACAAGTGAGGCAGCATCCAACAAAGTGTAAACATTTCCACCGCTTTTGTTTGACACATCGCGAACTTGCTCGCACCAGCGCCTAGGTAGGCGGCGGCCATTCATATTTGATTGGGCTGGGTACGCGATCAGTCGAGGTGCTTTGGACTGATTGTTGGCCAGCTCTGAGATCCCAAGTTCCATCTCCTCGTCACCTTGGAAACATGAGTATCCCATTCCAGCCAGCTCTCGCACACCGACAATGCTGGTATGGGAATCGGAGTGATAACCATACCAAAATCCTCGGTGATCTGAATCTCGCATTGATTCTGCAACTAGCTTGATTCCCGCGGTTGCATTAGCCACAAATACAAGGTCAAACTCATTTGGGTCCGCGTTGAAGAATCGCAGCATGCGAACTCGAACATCATCTGTCCGCTGGGTAGATAACTGCGAAGATAGAGACATCGAATGAGGATTCCCAAACAAGTTAGACACTAGATCATGCGAGAAGCCTTCAATGGTAGACTTGGCATAGGGTGTTGTTCCAGCATGATCAAGATAGGTAGTTCCTGTCGAGGGCAACAAGCGAAATCAGTTTCCATCCAAAAGATTTAAAGAGTGTGGCTTGGAAGGAATTTTGGAGTACTAGATGGAATTTTGGACATTCATACCATTGAGCAGAGGATACTCCTCCCTTCGAATGACATCCACATCGGCAGAGTATCCTCGACAGTATTCCATAGGAACACCTTCCTGAATGTCCGGCTTTGACGTGTTCGGCCTTGATATATTCGGCAAGATTGCCATGATTGTGAAGTTTCAGAGAACTTGGCCCAGAGGGAATTTGACAAACAAGCTCACACAGTGCAGCGTTCACCGTCGCTAATGTCAGACGGTAGTCCGATGAAGCGATTCACAATTTGTACAGACCAGGAATATACAGGAGAGAGAAAACAGACAGCGCGGATGCAGGAGAAAGGGCGAATAGAACAGAGATCAAAGGAAAAGCGAGGACACCAGAAAAGATGCAGCAAGGTTACCACCCGACCGCGAGCAAGTATGTAAATGTAGTGTCTGGAGACAAGATTAGCCCGGTATATGGGTATGTATTTTCCCAGAAGGTCGGAAATATCCAAAAGCAGGCTGCATCCTTGCAACGGCGCCATATAAAACGGTTTTGGGGGTAGGCTCTTACAGATAAGGCGAGTATATGCTTGTCGGTAAGCTCCGATGGGCAACAAATCAACCGACCTGGGAATTAGTTCCAACCAACGACAAGATGGGCTGTTGGCGGAGAAAAAAGCATACACAGCCCAAAGAATGGTCCATGGCTTTTATAGGTATATGTGCATTGTCGAAGGAAGTTGTGATCTCGAGGCTCCTTGCCACATAGGAGATCCCCGCACGTGTGATAGGTTGTGGCAATATGGGAGCCAATGGCCGTGGTGGTACCGGGCCCTTAGCCGCCGGACAATAAAATGACGGTGGAGGACCGGGTTCAGCTCGCCCACGCACCTACTGATGAAGTGGGGATACGTTCGTACATCCAATGGGGGATCTACAGAGGGGTCCAACTAGGGCATGTCCATGCATAATAGCAATGTCTTTTATACCTCCCCATAGGTTGGATCGGGGAGATCTCTTCACATCAGCCGACTGAGCTATATCTACTATTGATATCTAGTGCATCCCTGCCTTATATCACATCAATAAAGGCCATCCTACTCCGTATTTCCATCCAGTCATGAGCATTTGCTGGGCGAAGCTTCCATCACCCTCTATCACACGTTCCAGCAGAAAGCCACCCCGGCAGACAATGCAACTGCCACCTGCATGTGCTTCTGGGATTATGTTGGGGCTAGATCATGGCCTTCAAATCTCGTCACATCACCAGCTTACTCACTTGCGCTGATATCTATTGATAGTACGGAGTATCGGACAAAGAGTATGTCTGGAGTGATGCAATACATTCATAATGTGGCCATGGGCACAGCACGGACGGTACTCCGGGCAAGTGGGTCAAGTTCTATGTAGGTAGCAATGGACGAGCAGACTTTGAGACTGCAGATTGTCGACCTCATGATCACACGCTGGGGCCAGAAGCGATGTGATGGTAGTATTCCAAATATTTGCCCAGGTCCTTCTTTCTACACCGTGGAGATCTCGGCGTCGTAGATCAACTTCCGTCCTTACTCGAAATTGTTTGGTATATCTGAACTAATACATACGAACCGTGATAGGTTCACAATGTGGGCTGACTCTCGGCGTTTGCTTCATGAATCTACACCGCCGGGTGTTATGGCAAGTGACTCAATAATCGCTGACCCCAAAGCTTGGACCTTTTTCGACTGGACTTCTGAGAAGCAAGGGCTGAATATGATGTGTGAGTGTCCATTGGCTAGCATTGGGGTATGTGACCGCAGTTTGTATTGTACATAATGTGTTGGTAGTATACTTCGAAAGAAAAAGGAAAAAAATAAGAACTCCATCCCAAGCTCCTGATGTGGCTCGTACAAGTGGCGGTGTTGATGCGGGATGCAATTCGGACAGGAGCCGGTATGGCGTCGGAAAGCCAAAACCGAACAAACCCGCCAGAATAAAGAATAGAAAGACGCTTCAACGAGTTCTGTTGGGGCGTTGCCATTACCGCTTGGGCCATTGCTTCCATCCACGTCCATGACCTCTCTGTTTGCCCGAGTCAGCGATGTGAGGGAAAACGTTGGATCTAAACCTACCTGCTTCCACATGCGGACCATTTCCGGCATTCCCTCCATGGCCTTGCGACGGTCCTCGAGACGCGACTCCATTGTACGCTCCCATTTGTGACCCTTGACCTTCTGGCCAATACCAGTTCCCTTGACTTGCAATCCACGCTCCTGACGACGTTTATCCTTGAACTCGGGTGACTTGCGGCTGGGAGGAAGAAGTGTTTCCACCTTATATTTGATGGCCAACTTCATCAAGTCCGCTTGTTGTCGCAGTCCATATCTCGGACTCTCCCACTTTCCAAATCGCTTGTGTGGAAGGAAAGGGTTGCGAACAGTGTCACTGGTCACAAGGAGTGCCTTTGCAGGGGTCCATTCAGTTGGCTTCAGTGCTTGGGCACCCTTGGCATCACGGTCAGAGGTGTATGGTGATGGGAGTGGTGTTTGCGGAACGGTCGCTTCCTTTGGGCGAGGTGCTGGACGACGGACAGCAGCGGAGTGCAATTGGGGGGGATACCGGGCAAAGAAGTTCACAAGACGCTGGGGAAGAGCTGGGGCCTGCGCTGGATTCGCCATGGTGGCTTTGATGGATGAATTCGATGTCCTGGCTTGATAGGCAGGTGTTCGGGTCAAAAAGTTGACACCGCCCAGGTACACGCTAAACCATATTAGGGCACGTTGTTGCCTCGCACCTAAGGTGATAAAATTTCCTATTCTAGCTCGGCACGCATTTTAGTATATCCGCCCTCAGCACCCAGAACTTCTAAAGTTTGGAAGCTCACCAAGCAGGGCTCACACCTGATCCCTCAGGCAGAGACTGCCTGATCCGGCTACGTACGGATTTACCTTAATGCGCCATTTTGCTCCTCTCGCCTGAGGCATCCAGCGTATCTTCGGCTTGGTTTTCAGTCTTATCCCAGCCCTCAGTTTGTGCTTCAACTTTTCCATTTTTATCAGCACTCCGTGCTCAACATACTTGAAGCCCCATTCGCTGTACTCTCCGCCCTTTGTTTCCGCACGCGACCAGCCACCTTCTGTGAATATGTCCGAATACCAGTATGGAGGTTCTGAGGAGGAGAACGCTGAGCTGCACAAGCTGGAAACTGAATTGGTATGTTCTCGCGCGCACATTATGGTTGGAATCGCTTGCTAATTTATGTTACGCCTTGACTAGTTGGACGATCCTGACAATTTCGAAACCTGGGAGAAACTGGTTCGCGCCGGAGAAGCTCTCGATGGTGGAATCAATCGCAACTCCAATCCCCAGGCCATCACAACTGCTCGTGCCAACTATGACCGCTTCCTGGCCAAGTTCCCCCTCCTTTTTGGTTATTGGAAGAAGTACGCCGATCTAGAGTTTTCGATCACTGGCACAGAGGCTGCTGAAATGGTATGAGCACATCCACATTGCCCAGCCTCCTTCTCTTGTTGGACTTGACTTATCTGACACTATCAGATCTATGAGCGCGGCATTGCCAGTATCCCACCTTCGGTTGATCTTTGGGCCAACTACTGTGCGTTCAAAGCGGAGACTTCACACAACCCCGACATCATTCGAGAGTAAGTGCAACAGAAACCGCTTTCTTCCCTTGCCCTATAACCGTTATCGACACAGCTCGCAGAAGCTCTTGTGATGCCGATCATGTATGAATTCTGGGTCTTCCATATCCAGCAGTTGCATTGTTGATGAGTGAGAGACCATTGCTATACCCCCCCCCCCCCCCCCCCAATGATACAAGGAGATACATGCTACTTCTCAACCCAAACTTACCCAGGGTCGTCTGTTTCTCCTGACAAAACTGCTTCCATTGCGTTCAACCAAGGAATCCTCTTGTTCGATGGCCTTTTTACGGAACACGGGATGCCTAATGCTTTACCTCATCGAGCTTGGCTTTCACACTCGGATGGAGTCTACCGCTTACCTCTTTTTCTTCCCCTCTCTCATTCCTCTCCCACTCAAACCCCCATTGCCTGCCCATCGTGCTAACATATTTCTTGATCAGGCTATTTGAGCGGGGAGCTGATTGTGTTGGTCTTGATTTCCTCGCACACCCATTCTGGGACAAGTACATTGAGTTCGAGGAACGGACTGAAGCTCATGATAAGATCTTCGCCATTCTTTCCCGGGTTATCCATATTCCTATGCACCAGTACGCTCGCTACTTCGAGCGTTATCGCCAACTCGCACAGTCCCGGCCTCTGGCTGAACTCGCACCTGCAGATACTCTAGCTACAATCCACGCTGAGATCGAGGCCATCGTATCTCAACAAACTGCCGGTGTTAAGGCCGAGGCTGAAATTGAGCGAGATATGCGGCTGCGATTGGATGGTTATCACCTTGAGGTGTTCACAAACACCCAAACGGAAACCACTAAGCGCTGGACTTTCGAGTCGGAGATCAAGCGACCCTATTTCCATGTGACGGAGCTTGACGAAGGTCAGCTGACCAACTGGAAAAACTACCTTGACTTTGAGGAGGCCGAAGGCTCCTTTGCCCGCATTCAGTTCCTGTATGAACGGGCTTTGGTGACCTGTGCTCATTACGATGACTTCTGGCTCCGCTACGCCCGTTGGATGGCGTCTCAGCAGGACAAGGAAGAGGATTTGCGAATTCTCTACCAACGTGCGGCTTATCTTTATGTGCCAATCGCCAACCCCACCATTCGACTCCACTATGCCTACTTTGAAGAAACATCTGGACGTATCGATGTGGCAAAGGATATACATGGTGCTATTCTTGTCAACCTGCCCAGCCATGTTGAAACTATCGTTTCTCTTGCTAATCTTTGCCGTCGCCACGGAGGTCTCGAGGCGGCCATTGAGGTTTACAAGACTCAGTTGAATTCCCCAGAATGCGAGATGTCCACTAAGGCTGCTCTCGTTGCAGAATGGGCTCGCCTTTTGTGGAAAATCAAGGGCAACCCCGACGAGGCTCGAACGGTGTTCGACAACAACCAGCAATATTACATTGATAGTCTGCCATTCTGGCGGAGCTACCTCGTGTTCGAGATTGAACAGCCAACCAGCGCAGCTACCGAGTCGGTCCAGTATGATCGAATCAAGCAAGTCATTTCGGATATTCGGTCCAAGAGTGCTCTTCAAGTTGACGCTGTCAAGGAGCTTGTCCAAATCTACATGGTTTACCTCCTTGAGCGAGGCACCACCGACACAGCAAAGGAGTACATGACCCTTGATCGGGAAGTCCACGGCCCTGCATCTGTCGCTTTTGCCCGCACCGGCGGCTCTGTGGGGGCAGTCCCAAGCTCTGCAAACATTCAACCCGCCCTTGTTCCCATTGCGCAACCCAGCCAAGAAGATGCTGCCACACAAGCTCATGCGTACTACCAGCAGGTTCCTGTAAATGGCGAATCCGCTTGAACCAGGATCTGGGCTCAGCTCCTTTCGGCAGCTGTTGACTTCAAACTTCTACATTCCCCTTTGCCTTGATTATCTGTTTGAGTCTTATGACTTTGATTCTGATGCTTCTTTTGCTCTACTGTTGCGATTCACCGGGGTAGGTCGGTTCCCTCCCCCCTCTTTGTAGTATTACCCTGTTTCCCCCTGTCAGACACACTTTTTTTTCAACTTGTCTAGCGATTATGATGACCCTCCTCCACCTTCGCAGGGAAGATTTCCTCTTGGCCATCAACGGGCTAGAATCTAGCATCTGATTGATGCTTGATAGCTTGTTTTTCTTTATGTCGAGGTCGAATCCCGAGCGCCCGGCTGTACTCTAACCAGCTATCTTTCAAATAAAAATTAATTGTAGTAGCCATCGTCAACATTTGTAGCTAACGATGTAAAAATATGTCGTATGCAAGTACCGAGTAGATAATGCCGATAAGAGATAAGGATATACACGTGACCGCGCGACTGGGCTATACAGTCTTCCGTAGAAATTCGATATCATCAAACTGCGCAATTATCACCGGGCTCCAGTTCTTCCTGCTTCGCTATGACGATGGACGGGGTGATTGCCAACGACTCTAATATGTCTCCCCCCTCGCCCCCACCTCAACCAACGGAGCGCCCTCCAAGCCCACCTCCACCTCCTCCTGAGGACTCGGCCGCTCCGCCGCCGCCGCCAGACACCACAGCTCCCCCGCCTCCTCCAGAAGATATCCCTCCGCCGCCTCCCATCGAGAACACAAAAAAGAAGCAGGGATGGGGTGCAAAGAAGGCTGCTATTACACCGTTGAGTGTAGAAGAGCTGATTCGCAAGAAGAAGGAAGCAGATGCGGCAACAGCCAAGGTAGGCTTGCATTCGTCTGAAAGGGCATTGATATCACATTCGAAAGCGTGCGGACATCTGACTAATTGTATCTATTCTCAGCCCAAATTCCTATCCAGAGCCCAACGGGAAAAATTAGCTCTGGAGAAGCGAGCCCAAGAGGTTGAGGCAGAGCGACAAGCCAAAGCACGCGCTAATGGCGCCGGCCGCGACGATTTCACAACAACTCCATCTACAGCGAACCCTCGAGGTGACTCGAATCGCAATGTTCCCACTGGGCCGCGAGCGATGCGCGACGAACCGCCAACGGGACCTTCTTCCATGCGCAAGGGCGATAGACAATCCAATCGGAATCAAGACATGCCACCACCACCCAAAAAGGGCGAAAAACGCTTAACTGAGGAAGAGGGGATGGCTGCACAAGCTGCTTTGACAAAAACACGATACATGGGAGCAGACGTGACGTCAAATTTCTCTGCCAAAAAGAAGCGCAAGCGCACGACAGATCGCAAGTTCAACTTTGAATGGAATACCGAGGAGGACACGAGTGGCGACTACAACCCATTATATCAAGACCGACATGAAGCCAACTTCTTCGGCAGAGGACGTTTAGCAGGGTTTGGCGACGACGTCGCTGATGATGTGGCGCGCAAGTATGCGGCGGCCTTGGTCACTCGCGACCAGGAAGCTGGCAGCATACGTGCGAAGGAGATCATGGAAATGGAACGCCGGCGACGAGAGGACAGCACGCGCAACCAGCTGGATAAGCACTGGAGCGAAAAACGTTTGGATCTAATGCGCGAGCGTGACTGGCGTATCTTCAAGGAAGACTTCAACATTGCTACTAAGGGTGGTAGTGTGCCAAACCCTATGCGTTCATGGGAAGAAAGTCTACTACCAAAGCGTTTATTGGAGCTTGTTGATCGCGTTGGCTATAAAGATCCCACGGCTATTCAGCGGGCGGCTATTCCGATTGCAATGCAGGCCCGAGATCTCATTGGTGTTGCTGTTACAGGTTCCGGTAAAACGGCAGCATTCCTCCTGCCACTTTTATGCTATATCTCTGAGCTACCACGGCTTGATGAGAACGAGTGGCGCAAAAACGATGGACCTTACGCAATTGTTCTAGCACCCACTCGTGAATTGGCGCAGCAAATCGAGATTGAAGCTAAGAAATTCACACAGCCCCTTGGTTTCAATGTCGTCAGTATTGTCGGTGGACACTCGCTTGAAGAGCAAGCCTACAGCTTGCGCGATGGTGCGGAAATCATCATTGCTACCCCCGGTCGTCTAGTTGACTGTATCGAACGTCGCATGCTGGTACTCAGTCAGTGCTGCTATGTGATCATGGATGAAGCCGATCGCATGATCGATCTTGGTTTCGAGGAGCCCGTCAATAAAATCCTCGACGCCCTTCCAGTCACGAACGAGAAGCCCGACTCAGAAGCAGCGGAAGACTCGCGCGCCATGAGCCAACACCGCTACCGTCAAACTATGATGTACACAGCCACTATGCCTGCGGCGGTCGAGCGCATTGCTCGCAAATACCTCCGCCGACCAGCTATCATCACAATCGGTGGTGTCGGTGAAGCCGTCGACACAGTCGAACAACGCGTCGAGATGATCGGTGGCGAAGACAAGCGCAAGAAGCGCCTTGGCGAGATCTTATCGTCGGGCGACTTCGGGCCTCCAATTATTGTTTTCGTCAACATCAAGCGAAACTGTGATGCCATCGCCCGCGAGATCAAGCAGATGGGCTACTCTTCTGTTACTCTTCACGGTTCTAAAACACAAGACCAACGTGAAGCTGCCTTGGCCTCCGTGCGCAGCGGCGCAACAAACGTTCTCGTGGCAACTGATCTCGCTGGAAGAGGTATTGATGTTCCGGACGTTTCGCTGGTTGTTAACTTCAACATGGCTACTTCGATTGAGAGTTACACCCACCGTATTGGTCGTACTGGTCGTGCCGGCAAGAGTGGTGTTGCCATTACCTTCCTTGGTAGCGAGGACAGCGATGTGATGTATGATCTCAAGCAAATGCTTATCAAGTCGCCCATCTCGAGGGTTCCTGAGGAGCTGCGAAAGCACGAAGCGGCGCAGTCGAAGCCCAATCGTGGTGCGGGAGGGAAGAAGATCGAGGACAGTTCTGGATTTGGAGGTAAGGGAGGATGGGCATGATACTCTTCGCCATTAGAGTTTCATGTTTTCTTCCATTAATATCATAGCTATTTTCTCTCCGGTGTCTCGACATATGCTGGATAGTAGCCGGCGTGTACGATGTTCGTGATAATCCAACCCTCACGCTGTTACGAAGCTTTGTATGACTATTTCTCAATAGAAACTTCAGGTAACGCATAGGAGACATGCGCCCTGCAACTTAGAACTTTAGAAGTGCCCAAGCCAATGTATACCGCCGGACCAGTCAGCGAGTCCCTACTTAAGTAATGTCCTGAAACGTATATCCATGGATGTGCTACATGGTTGACACTGATGATGACTGGAGACAGCATTAAGTAGAAGGATGGAAGAGTAGATTTTTGATTCTTTCCTATTTAGACAAAAGACACATCCTGTGTGCTTCAGTTGTACTAAAATGTCCTTCATAGCATAGCTCATATATAATTGAACATTTGCTCAAGTAGGTATCGATGATGATGCCCTTTCGGACTTATAGCTTGCTCTGAAGGTAGCGGTTGCTGCTCAGCCAGTCCTCAACGTCCTGGCGGTCACGCTTGAGCCAGTTGACCTTGGCGCGGATGGCATCCAGACTCTGCTCAACGGCACGATCGAAGCCCTAAACGAGAATAAGTTAATAAGGTCACATACAACGGTAAACGATTCGAGAGTGTGAGTAGATGACGAACCTTGGTGTCCTTGGAAGCGAAGAATTGCTCAACCTCCTTCAATTGTGCCTCGGTGCAGAAGCTGGCAGTGGTGAGCTGAACAACGGTGCCCAGCATGCCGAGACCAGGAGGCAGACGCTTGTAAATCTCATCCCAGTTAGACTTGAGCCAGTTCCAACGGCCCTCAATACCAGCAGGGGAACTGCGGAGACCGCCAAGAGGCATGTAGATATCCTGGCTCTTAACCTCGTCGTTGAGCGCAAGGCCAAGGGTGCGCTGGATCAGCGTCGGATCCTGGGAGGCACCGAGGCAGCGCAGGGCAGTTGTCTTCTCGTCGGAAGTGGGGGCATTGCGGAACTGGTTCAGAACAACCTCGTACTCCTTCAAGCCTCCATGCTTCAGGACAATGGTGAAAACACTACCACGGATATTGGGATGGATAGCAGAATTGTCACCTGCAGCAAAGCGGGCGAACATGTCCTGAGCAGCCTTCACAACGACCGGGTCATCGGCCATACCGGCGGCGCCGAACATGAGTGCCTTGAATTGCTGCAGAATGTGATCGTCATTCTCGGGGAATTCCCAGCCAATCTCGTGGGCCTTGGTGGCAACCAGCGAGCGCTGGAAGGCCTTGAGAGCATCCTTGGTCTCCTGGCTCTCGAAGAGCCAGGCAGCACGGAGGGTACCAATACGGGTGAGGATCTCGTTCCAAACCACAAACTCAGACTCGGTATCAAGGCCCTGAAGCAAGGACAACATGCCAGAAGTGCTCTGGAAACCAGATGCCGCCAGGGCACCGGAGTCCGCGATCATTCCAGCACGGTCTTCAACACTCAGGCGGCCGTCACGGGCAGCCTGGCCAAGCTTCTTGAGGCGCTCAGGGCTGTATGAGGTACGGAAAATGGCAGAGTGGTCTGCGTTGAGCTTGTAAAAGTCCAAATCAGGAACGGGGAAGTCACGCTCGCGCTCAGTGAGCATGGTATTTTCATCCACACCCTTCTGAGTGCGCAGACCGAGCATCACAGGGAAGAGGGTCTGGTCTTCCTCGGGGCGGACATCACCAGTGCGCAGGAAACGGTTCTGCTTCACGTGAATAGAGGAGTTATCCTTGTTTTCGGTGACACTCAGAACGGGGAAGCCCACGTTCTTGGTCCAGATGTCCATGACCGACTTCACCGGCTTGCCACTGGCATCGCCCAACGCAGCCCACAGGTCACCGGTCTCGGTGTTTCCATAGGCGTGTTTCTTGATGTAGTTGCGAACACCCTGGAGGAATACATCCTCGCCGAGGTACTTAGAAATCATGCGCAGAACGGAAGAGCCCTTGGAGTAAGAGATCGCATCGAAGATTTGGTTGATCTCATCAGCACGCTTAACAGGCACCTCGATAGGGTGGCTGCTACGCAGAGAGTCAAGCGAGAGAGCACTCTGCAGGTTGTCAATAACGTAAGTTTGCCAGACCTTCCACTCCGGGTAGAACACGTTGCACGAATACCACGACATCCAGGTGGCGAAGCCCTCGTTGAGCCAAAGACCATCCCAGAAGTCCATGGTGACGAGGTTTCCGAACCACTGGTGAGCCAGCTCGTGCTGAACGGTCTCGGCAATGCGCTCCTTTCGGGAGGCACCGCTGTTCTTCTCGTCCAGGAGCACATCAACGATACGGTATGTGATCAGACCCCAGTTCTCCATGGCTCCGGCACTGAAATCAGGCACGGCAACCATGTCCATCTTGGGCAGAGGGAAGTCGCTGTCAAAGGCCTTCTCGTAGAAAGCCAGAGTCTTAGCGGCGAGTTCCAAAGAGAATCGGCCATGCTCAATATCCTGGTCGGGAGTGGCATAAACACGGATAGGAACCCGGAAGTTCTTAGTCTCAATGTAGTTAAGGTGACCGACGATGAAAGCAACAAGATAAGTGGACATGAGGGGCGAAGTGGTGAACTTAACAGCCTTCTTAGCTCCACCCTGAACCTCGGTCTCGGTATCGACATCCATGTTGCTCAGACAGGTCATGCTCTTGTCTGCGACCAAAGTCACAGTAAACTTGGCCTTCAGGGCGGGCTCATCGAAACAAGGGAAGGCCCGGCGGGCATCCGTCGGTTCCATCTGGGAGGAAGCAATGTACTTGGTCTCCCCGTCCTTCTTGTATGACGATCGGTAAAATCCGGCCATGTTATCGTTCAAGATACCGGTGAAGGTGAGCTTCAGCTGGGCCTTGGAACCCGCCGAGATGGCCTGTCCAAACTTGATTGTAGCAGTCTGGGCATCCTTGTTGAAGGAGATTTCGGGCTTCGAGTCTACCACCGATCCATTGGCTGACACCACTGCGCTGTGGATGTCGATCTCGTTGGAGTTGAGGGAAACGAAGTCGGTGTCTTCGGCCACATCAAGACTATATTATCCAGATCAGTCACCATGCGTATGAGCATCTCGGGTAGGGGTGGAGCATACTCAATGTTGACAGTTCCCTCATATGTGAACTTTTCAAAGTTGGGTTCGAGTGTCAGGTCATAATGCTGCGGCTTGACATTTGTAGGTAGAACCTCGCGGCCCTGGACATTTGTCGAGCCGGAGGCCTCGCCGCGGCGTGAGCTGCACATTCTGCGGTAGGAACAATATCTTTTGGATGTGTGTGATAACGGAGAAGGGTTGCGGCGAGAGATTGATCTAGGGACTGGAGCTTGAGGAGAGCGGGAAACAAAGAGGGGGAGGGGCGCTCTGGCGGAAAGAAGCGGTGGCTTTGCTTGTTGCAGCAGCACGCGCGAAGAGAAACGGCGCATCGGCACTAAACCCGAACGCGGGGAGAGAACGAGAGACGAAACGAAGGAAGAGAGGAATTAGGATTAAAAGTAATAGATATACACAGAATAATTGAATCGCAGACTGTCAAGCAATGGCCAGCTCAAGGGAGAAAAACATATCAGTCCGGCAAATTAAGGCGGTGAGAGCCTCGGCTTCAGCTACTTTTCTTTTTCTTTTTCTTCCTTTTCTTCTTCTTCTTTATCATTTACGCAAGTTCACCCAGCGGATGCTACAATTCTATCATAGCAGACAGCTGATTGGAATAGCTTTGCTATTACATTGCAAGACAATATACCAGCAAGTTTGAGGGGCTCATGACAGATTCTTTGATTCTCGTGGATGGGCATCCATAGAAGACTGGAACATACACCATTATCATATATATACATGCGTTTCAAGTATTGTTATGGTGTCTCCAAGCCCATTAGAGGGCTTGCATCATGGCTTAGCGCTCAGATGCACTTATTTTACATATATATATTGTCTTTAAAATAATATGAAGTCGAATATGACAACCAATTCTATCCTTTCTAGACGAATGGACAGTCCACGGGTAACAGCGTGACAGCAATCACTTAACATACCTATAAACATAGTAATGACCACATCAAAAGAATCCAGTACAACAGTAAGTAGACATAAAATTGAAGTCCGGTCTTGCGGGGAGAGATGCCAAGACATAGAAACAGCCGCCAGCACATTGATAACACCACGAGTCCCTTCTCTTCAACCATATCAACCCACACGCCAATAAGCCCGACGACACAACCCCTCACCACCTTTCAAAGCTTGACACCCAGGGCACATAACGCCACCGATAAGACTCCTACACTCAAGCTTGCCACGCCCTCGAAATGCCTTACCTACCAACCTCCCAGGCCTTCCTGGAACAATCCGCCGAATTATTACAAGCGTACCCAGCCGTAAGCTTAACGACCACCACAAACGGGGCACGAGCTAACAGGCGCAGACTCGGATAGTAACAAAATACAACTTCCCAACAACGAGGCCCGGCAACGCCAAGCGGATTCAAAAATCGCAAGCCAAAAAGACCGACACCACGCCAAGTGCGCCAATCGCAACTCTCACGCTGAAGACTTTCAACCCCGCCACAGGAATTTGTTTGCAATACCGCACAAACAAGGCACAGGAGGTTTCTCGGTTGATTACCAGCCTTGGGAAATTGGCTGCCGGAGCTGATGTGGCAGGTTTGGGGTTGTCCGCGCCCGCTCCAGTTGACGTTGAGATGGTGGATGCTCCGGCTGTGGAGGAGCCGAAGCAGCAGCAACCGCAGCAGGCTCAGGGTGGGAAAGGGAAGAAGAAGGGTGGGAAGGGAAAGCGATAAATTAAGCAGTCCGAATTAAAGGCCTGAATTGCATGGGTTCATCATTCTTCTGGTGCGCTTTTACGTAGACATGGTCTGTTATCTTGGGAATCTCGCTCGCATAGGATGAGAACAGATGGTTGCAATTGCCGCTGGCGGTGGTACTCTCTATCGCTTGGAGATTTCTTGGTAGTTGGAAATTGAGATAC